AAAATGCAGATTTTATCTATAAATTTGACAAATGGCAGGAAACGATAAAAATCTGACAGCGAATCTCGCGCCAAAGTCCGGTCACGGTGATAAAATAAATTTCCGATCACAGTGGTTTTCCGCAAAACTTCCGTGCAATTGCATTACATTCACAATACGTCTATATATACTTTACCTAACCAATCCGACAATATTATAAAGACGCGTGCACATTTAATAACATTACTTTTAAGATATACATATTAAAACGCCATCATGAAACAGGGAATTAGCAAAAATACAGGAACAACGATCTCAATATTTGAAGATTAGGCAGTGATATTACAACCCTGTTATTAAAGACATACTATGCTATCACAACCAAAACAGTATTATTAATTGTATAATGATAATAATGACGTGCAATTGTATCATTGAGGTTCTTCTAATTGTATACAGCGTGTCGTTACCATCGCGACAATAAATGAACACACGTCTAACGCTACTTGCCAATAATCATAAAAAAATATTAACGATAAAAACAAAATCCATAATTTAAAATTTTTTTTTTCAAACAAACTTATTAAGTAAAAAAGAAACAAAATTTGTAACATCTTATACAACTTGCGCCACAGCGTCGCATTACAAGCCTCTCCTTCTAACAGTATGTTTTGTCTCTTTTAAATTCATTCAACCCATTCATATGATTGCTTTGTGACCTTTACAAATGAACTTTACGTTACGCTTTTGTAGGTAAGGGTGATCTAAAATTCCAAAATGTTTTGGAAAATTTAATAACTCTGTAAATATTTATGTTTAAAGAATTTAAATGTTTAATACAACTTTAAAAAGTTATCCCCTATATGTGTGTTCATTTATTGTCGCGATGGTAACGACACGCTGTATATACTACGAATTTGTTTATTTATCTGAACATAAAAAAATGTAAACTGCAACAAAACTCGACAGTTTGGATGTAGACACTACAAAAACAAAATGTAAATCGAGCGAGAGGTATATGTGACATCGTGCAAGAAAAGACAAAAGTCCTAATTTGAATATGCAATATGTATGGATGACATATCCATGCATATTGTCATTTCAAATGAACGGCACAGAAGCGGTGTGTCCAAAGCTTTAGTTTTGTAAAAATCCTCCACTAGCCGTGTTGCACCTCAGACAGTTCATTTTCCGTTGCCTTGAGTTATTTACCCGCCTTTTCAATGACCGGCCGCCAATTATAACAAGCTTTTCTCGCCGGCTCACGATTAGTCATACTTACTTTGAGGAGGAGGTTGATAGCGATATTTGTGATAAAATATTGCGATTATTATGGGAAAAAAATAACATCCGTTGTATGGGAAACTCGCATAAATATTTATTATTCTGTTTTTTAGTATTTGTTGATATAACGGCAACAGAAATACATCATCTGTTAAAATTTGAATTGTCTAACTAACACGGTTCATGAGATACAGCCTGATAACAGACAGACAGACAGCTTAGTCTTAGCAATAGGGTCCCGTTTATGAACTTTATTTCTAGTGCTACCTCTGCACACAAGATAAAACTTGAAGCCATCGTGTCAATTTAATGCGCGAGTAACGCGCAAAGAAGACAAAGATCATATATTTTTAAGAGTTCACAACGTAAATATTGGCTTAAAATAAATAGTACGTATCTTAGCAACGATAAATTGTATAACTTCTTTGATGAAGGTAGTAGACGATAACCCCAGCCAAGCAAAAGCCGTTACCATTGAACAAACTTAAATTCTAATAGGACAGATAAATGGACGCCGAAAGATCGCTTATTCGTGATGCTTTTACAGCATCACGAATAAAATCATGTCATTAATATTGGCTGACCTTAACCATTATTCCATAGGCCTAAACATACGCGTAAATTTTACTTTCGCGGGTATACGTATAACATAGGTAAACTCTTCATTTAATTGCGGGAGAAGTTAAAATCTGTTAGTCAGAGCCACTGGGCAATTATTTTTTTGATCGCACCGCCATTAGTCACATTAGGTTCCAGGAAACATGGGTGGAACAATTTTTACCGCACCTAATAATAATTTACTGGAGACTCATTGACAATCATCTTGTCTACGTCGCATTATGGAGATTAGACATAGATTATATGGCTTTAGCGGAACGCTCTTCCGCTGAACTGTTGCGTCATTTCATTGAAAAGTATTCCACAATCCCCTTTGAAGTGTAGCGGTCAATCGAGGAAAACTAAGTTCATTTTGATTTATCGATTAAGGAGTATTCGTCATCTATGCTTCAAGATGTCTCAAATTAATATTACTAAATAGTAAAAAGTAAAGTGATAATATCGGAGCCCGGAATTCACTCAGAGATCTTTTTAAAGAGATTAATATACTCACTGTTGCTTCTCAATACATTTATTGTAATATTTTGTATATATACGTCATAACCTTAATTATTACCTAAAGAATAGTTTGAATTATTACCTAAAGACATAAAATAAACACTAGAAATAAGGACAAACTTACTACGCCATTGTTTCGTCTAGTTACAAAAGTAAATAGGTCATTCAGGAGGCAAAGTGTACGCATGTATAATAAAATCCCACAGTCGATATTAAGTCTGCCGCTTGACCAATTTAAACGTAAAATTAAAAGTCAACTTATTAAAAGTCAGCATATTATACCATTGCGGAATATCTCACGTAGACTAGAATAAAACTATTATACCTGTATGTTATTTTGTAAACTGATACTTTTGAAAAAGAGCAACTGTTGATTTTCTTGCCGGTCTCTTCTCAACAGAAATTGCTTTCCGAACCGGTGGTACCTTACGTAGGTTCGTTCATTTAATTTTTGACGTTTTTGACGATTCATAAGAGCGCGGAGGCGTCTATTTGAAGATATATATTTTTGATTTTAATTTTTCATTTTTGAACATCCTATGTATGTCCCACGGCTGGGCAAAGGCCTCCTCTGTACAGAGGGTATTAGGTAAATGGTTATGTATTTAAAAAGTTCAGTACTTTAACGCTACTTATTATAATAGTGATGTCAACTAACAATAAAGTAACGGTAAAGTACATAATTGTAATGATCGTTACATATTATTTTAATGAAACAAACAAAAACTGTCCCTATTCTAGTAATTAAAATTAAAATTATAAATGATTCTTGTTAACGAATTGAATTATATAAAGAAAAATTGTTTAAGTGTGCCTAATAAATTGCTCGTTGGAAAGGTATTCCATCATAGATGTCAATAAAAGGTGAAAATTGGCTTCATTTCATCGAAATGAAGTGCAAACGCGCAAGGTTTTTATCAATTATCGTCTCTTTTATAGAACTTGATTGGAAAATAACGATCCTTTCACGTGTTCCCAATCGTGATTTATTATCGAAGGCTGTTTAAAAGTTATAGGATACACTTTATTTTTATATCAATTAACCTTGATTCTGCGTGGTAGAATTAATTGGCTATTACGAAGCAGCATTTTTTTTAATTATACCGTCTTTACAAGGGGTTGATACAAATGGAAAATAAATTGAAATTTTTCTTATAAAATACGTGAAGACCGGACCATCCGCAGACAAAACAAAATTGTTAGACCTAAAACAATTCATTTATAAGGCGAGACCTAAATAAAACTAAAATATGAACGTCGTTATTCCAGAAAAGGTAATTCAATTTCATTCATGTCATTTATGTTCTCAATATTAATAGAAAAATAAAATGAGGAGTTATTAAAATTTTAGAACTTTATGTTTGAGGACACTCAATTTTTAGTTTAAAAAACACAATGTACAAACGAATATTTATCGAGCATTCGAAACTTTCATAACATAAGGTTTTTATAGAATAATTAAGATTTTTATCAATGTTTTACTTAATGCCTTACCCCTTATATTATTGTAATAAGTTATTAAAAGTAATTTATGAAAGCGCCATCTATACAAATTTTCATGTACTATCTTCCTACGAACTTTTAACTGTGTCATTTTAGTACACTTAACCGTCGATAGGGCAATAAACAAACTAAAGTTATTGTTATTAAAAGTTATCAGCTGATAGCGCTTAGAGAGAAATAGAATTTTATTAATCGCGTAGTAAATAAAAACATTACTTTATATAGAGTGAACATTGTGTACGCATGTTCAGTACTGGTTTTGTATTTGAGAAGAATATACCTTATAGTGATTAATGAATTTATTTTATTGGTATTCTAACCTCAAACGGACATACCAAACAGGATAAAAGGTATTACATTTATTTTGATTATTATTTTTTCTTTTTATTACTTAATAAAAAAGCTTCCAATGAACATTATAGATAAATTTTAATCGTTTTCATCATAAGGCATTATATCGCAGTGATCTTTGACCTATATTATTCACAAAACACAGTTTTACTAGTTTATATGATAATGTTGTTATTTGTTCCGGTTATAATCAGTTATTAATCTGTTATTCAAGATCATTGTCACTGGCCGTTAATATTAGTTGTGCTCATTTGTTACTACTAACTACTAACACTCGATAAGTCCCAAATCGAATGTTAAATAAAATGACACATTGTTACACGCTTGTGTTACATAGACCAGACTATTGACCATAACGTTGTACTGTTTACTTTGAACCCCGTAATTGTTCGTCTTCGTATTACAGTCGTAAAACTCTTACCTTGACCGATGATTTGTGGCAACTGTCTGAACACGTGACATTCTAAAATGTCAAACGGCGTACCGACACACATCGACTAACTAACCCGAATGTCGATAATCGTCGTACGAGGTTCCCACTTTGCACTAATGACTTCTAAAACACACTCACCTAAAACGTTATCGCATCAACCAAATGGAAACTGTTGCGCGCCTGACTGAACGTAGCGGCCGGCGAAAGTTGTTTCTTTTTCTTCACACTGGATGCCAGCCGTTGATGCTTAGGCATGTCCGTTGCAACGCGCGGCGGGGCGTGGGGTTTCTCTCTATGGCTGTGGCGTTCGTCCCCTTCCCGCTGTGACTCCTCAACACTGCATCCGTTCGCGGGTTGAATCACCAAAGGGGGAGGGGGGGATGGTTTCCCGTGTACGCTTCCGTTGTCCGCGCGTTCGTCGCGACCGTGCGCCGCAGACAGTGACGCGCGATAAAAGAACCACGCTACAACGTCGACAATAACCCGTTGCGTGGCCGTCGACGAAGCCGCTACTCTCGTTTTCTGGTCGGCCGAGCGGTTTAGCGCAGGAGCGGCAGAAGCGGCCTCTTAGCATTGACTGGACTGCGCTCGGGCTGCGCAGGATGCGGCCCATTAGGCAAAAGAGCGTCCATTATTGTATTGTCGTGTCGTGGGCTTATCGTTGGTGCGCCAGTGTCTCGGATCGCCGGGCGCTTTGAGTGCGAGCCGGACGGCGTTTCGCAGGAGACGTCGCCGCTTCGAGCCGGCGGCGTTCCATTTTCGAAAATCTGACGCGCCCAAGTGCAGCCGGCGTGGCGCGTATAAACCAAAATGGCGACGCTTTTCACACGCGCCGCGTCGGTCGGTGCGCGCGAACAAAACAAAAGGCCGAAGAGGAGGCGCTCGTGAAGTGATGGGACCGGATTTCGGGACGCACACGCCCGTTCGCTCAATTGGATCGAGCGTGTCCGAAGCTTTGGATAACGGTTTCCGTTCCCACACAGGAACCAGCGACGGCATTCGGTGGAACGCGAGGATTCCGGCGGTAACCGGATCGTCGGTCCAAACATTACTCATTTCGTTATTCATGGCCCAGAAGTCAGCAGCATTCTAACCTTTGATTAAACACTTGTCACGTATATAATAAAATATTATAACATTATTTCGCAATTAAATATAACTATTGTTTTGAAATCTCGAATACTGTAATGTTTATTAAAGTAGCCACGTGCTAGAACTCAATCCACCATTGTTGCCAATTATTTCAGAGCATAAATAAAAATAATTACAATTATAATAAAAAATAAAACCGTACTTAAAGCCTAGTAATGACGTCCTCAGGTTACATTCTAGATCAGCGGCGGAAATACAGTCTAAGTAACGTATTTCCTCGTGTATACAATTTCACTGTAATTTCAATCTGCAATATTCCAGATACCGTCAGACATAAACTTTGGGCAACTTGCGCAACTTTAAAATATACTCCTGCAATTTTCAAGTTCGGCGATTTTAGTTTCTGGAGATGGTTAGTTTGCCGTAAAAAAGAAATTACTTTGAGCGATTTGAAAAACGCATTGAAAGTTTTTTTGTATTTCACTAAGGATATAAAGAAAGACTTGGGATCAGTTTATAATAACCGAACAAGTAGACCACACATTGCAGAAGCGATGGTTGTTCTGTTGAAGGGTACATGTTTTTCTACATGTACCCATCAACAGAAAATTGATCGATCATACTTGATATTTCATAGTGAAATTATATCTAATTAGGCACAAAATTTCAACACATTTTCATTGCGAAAACTAAATATTATGTTCAAAAGGCAAAACACGGGGAACTTCATCATCAGCCGCAAGACGTGCACTGTGATGGCACATAGGCCTCCCTCTTACAACTAATGACACTGCCATCTGCATCCACATGGTTGCCCGCGACTCTTGCAATGTCGTCGGTCCACCTAGAGGGAGGCCTACCAACGCTACGTATTTGGGGAAATTGATAAATGGATAAAATAAAATTATAAATAAAAAAAAACTTGTGATAGAATAAATAATAAAAATTCTACATACTATATCTAGGTCAATAAATAGTGGCACGAAAAAAAATAAAAGTAGAAAAGCTGCCAGTACGCACATCATATTATTTTAGTTCGCATTATAATTATCCTCTACGATGAACACAGACGACATACGATGTCATTCTTTAGTTAGCTAAACTTATGATGGACAGACACCCAAATAAACCAAACCAAAGGATCACTTCTAACCTTACCAAGGAAATCTCGTGCAATACATTTTCACCCCACTGCCCAAGGAGGTTTATGATTATAAACCATTAAAATTGTAAACAGATATTATTATTATGATGAATAATTCCCCAACAATTAACGGTTTCAAAAGCGAAATATTACATAATTATATGTCATTATTATTAACTAAAATAATTAATTTCTACCAGTGAAAGCGCGGTTTCCATGAATACGCTGAACAGTTTATATCGGAATTTAAAACTTTCTCCTGTTATACGAGTTTACTAATTATTTAAATATTAGTCAGACTTTAATTGGAATTGATGTTTAAAAATACCAATTAATTTTTAATAAATGGCAGTGTTGCGCTGTGAATAATTTTAGCTTATAACAGTTACCGAACGGGGCGCGGTTGTCACACCATCTTTTCCCGCTAATAGGAAGCGCGTAAACGTTCTAATGTAGGTAATAGAAAATGTTACCGCAGTCCGCGATTGATGTGACGAAATCGCGCCAGTTTTTCGTAATGGACATTTGCGGATAAAGTGTTCTACATATTATATATTATATATTTAAATTAATAATCCACTGGAGTAAACTGACCAGTTCTAATGTCACTTTGCAGATTAATGTTGCCATATATATTGTAATAGTGATGATTCTGCTCATTATTGATTTCGATTATTTGCACGAGGAACATTCCTACTATTAATAATAATTCTATTTAGAATTAAAGATAGTCTTAGGCAGGTAACTGATTAAATATGGAGTACTTGCGTAGGTCACACATAATAAAACGTCGTATACAAAAATATATACTCGACTAGCGGACCCGACAGAATGATCAATACACACGACTTAAATCTGACAGCAACTTGTAAATAAAAAAAAACAGAAATGAAAACGAATTGTGAATCTAAACCATTCTCGAATCGACCTGAAGACGAAAGTTTTCATTAAAATCGGTCCAGCCGTTTAGGAGTTTTTTTTTTTTTTTTTTAGGAGGAGTTTAGGAGAGCCGTTTAGGAGGCACAGAAGAATTATATATATTAAGATAAGGAAGATAAGGAGAAGTCATTATTCTATTATTTTTATTTTTGATTAAATGGTTATTTATATTCCTTCGACAAATTAACTTTACTTTCTTTACAGTGGATTATGTACTTACATCCTACATTTTTTCCTGGACCATGATGTTATTTAAAATTTTATAGATGATTAAAGAATATTTGTAAATAAAATCCAGTATTAAGTATATTGACCGCTATGAACTCCGCTTCGGCCAGACATTAAATTGGAATCGATAATACATCGTTGTTTACTATAGCGGAATGGCAAATTCCGAACAATGAGACTAAATGAATCATCGAAACAATAATTAACTTCTCGATAACAGTTCACAGCCGCTTGACTTACATTTTCGCGGTTATTGGCACGGAGTTTAAATTATTACTAAGATAAGTATGTTAACGGGACATAATTGTCGGTACATATACGTGATGTTCCATCGTTTTTTCGCACAGATATATACAAAAACGTATCCTTTTTTTTAAAAAAACACTGCCTTATCCTTACTTTAGGATAATATTATCCTGTGTTGTAAGGACGTTTTAAAAACATAAATTACACGCGGATTCAATTCAATCGAATTTATCTAAACGTCACTTTGCTCGGATATGAATAACATTTTTATAACACTATATTTAAAATGCTCGTTATAATATAATTAATAATTTAATTTACTATTATCATTTCATTTTGTTACTATTATCTTATTTTGAGCATGATTTATTTATTTCATTTATCATTTTACTGCCGAATCGACAACTGTCTCGGATAAAAAATTAGCCAATCTTTTAAATCTCTATCACTTTTAGGGTTAGCAATTGTAATTATGTTTATTAATATTATGCTAATGCTATAATAATTCATAACACGAAATGCATTAACGGGCCAAGCAGATTAAAAGTAAAACTATAAATTCTCGTGAATAACAGGTTAAAAATTATGCCATATTCAAACTAAAATATTAGACATAAGAAGACTATCGAATCAATATATCGATACTGTATTCATAATTACTTGTGCATTTTTCGGTGTTTTACGCTTTAACAACACTATCCGCCATATTGCGCGCGCATTTTGAAAGCTGCGAAGGTCTCGCACATGTGATCGGTATCAACTGGCCAGGCATTTGGCACGAGTGTGACTCTATCGCTGTGCAACTAATTTGCATCCAGTTAGATATAGGTTCAAAGATCTGGGTCATTGCGTAATTTAATTGGTTGTAAATGAACCGGTATTTATGTCATTAAAAACGATTACGGTCGAGACCGGATTTTTCAGTATTTACAATTTTTTTTTACACAATTTAGTTTAGTGTTTATATTCTTACGTGAAATAATTGAATGTTTTAAAATGTATAAAAGTTATTTAATAAAAAAATAAAGATATTGGAAGTGGTGCATAATTTTGACTCGAGTTTCCAACCTTCGATAGCTCAGTTGGTAGAGCGGTGGACTGTAGAGGATAATCCAAAGGCATCCATAGGTCGCTGGTTCAAATCCGGCTCGAAGGAGTTTCTTTTTGTTTCTTTTTTTGAGGGATTTAATATCGAGTAATATAAGTTTTTCTATAAGAAATAATATGCTGTATGTGTATGTATAAGCTGGTAGCAAAAAAAAAATTAACTCCACCTTTTTAAAACAACCTTTCTCTTTTTCATAAAATCTAGATTGCGTAGAATGAGTTAACCTTTTATGGGACCACCATTAAAGGTTCACCATTCCAAATGAATGAGTTGCTAAATTTAAAAAAACTTGTGAAAGAACGTTTGTGTGTGTTGATGACACACTCTCGAAATTAATTGATCGCTACAGGATCTGTAAGTGTAATTTAAAAATTATATTGCACAAGTTTGTTATTTTTTTCATCAAATTATGTTAAAAAATTGCCCGCTGTGTAGTTCTTTTGACAATCAGGTGTAATGCAAAAATGTCATATTACATAATTGGATTCTGGGTCAATATTGTTTACATATAACCAAACAACTCCACAATAATGAATCTTCAATCTCAAAAAAATTATATAGACAAAATATGTAATTGAAAAACAAAACAAAAATTGTTGTTTCCGCCCGGGATCGAACCGGGGACCTTGTGCGTGTGAAGCACACGTGATAACCACTACACTACGGAAACTTGAGAAGTATACACGAAATTTTGATTTAGTTTCATTTAAGATACCAAATATTTCTAAAATTTTATCATAACTAATAATTTATAGTATTGACAAAATATAAGTAAGGAGTCCAATGCAGAGTACGGGACGAACATGATTTTTTTAAATCGAATAAAATATAGAAATTTTAAACTAATTAGAAGAAGCAATAAATTTTGAACTGTTTTTACCTTGTTAGACGCGATGTTATCAACACGTTGAATAATCCGATTTTCAATGACGGCTATTGTGCTTTCTTGGGATGTCACCGTTTGACTTCTGCTTCAAAGTAACGCGTCGGCCCTTTTATACTAGAACAAATTGCAGTACGACATTTACCACCCGCTGAATAAGCTTCATTACATTCATTGCGAAGGGTGTGTTTATGTCAGGCGAATTAGTAATACGTTTTTCACCCCATCACTACACGTCTTAATACTCAATGTCGCGTGATAACACACGTAACGCGTACATTGACGCATTCGCTTGCAGCGGCCGAACAAGGTTCCTGTATAATACGCAATGTATTGTTCACAAAGTGTTATTCGCTTCTCATATACTGTCTAACGATAGGCGTGTGAGATGTCAAAGGCTTGATTATAATGTTGGCAGTAGAAACGCATCTAATTTGAAAATTAGTTAGCTTTTTTATCGTACCTAACAACATTGTATAGATTAAAATTTAAAATGAAAAAAGTGTTGGGTTCTTTTAGGAATTTCATAATAACTCTTTTTCTTGCTTTTGCAATTTAGACCAATAAAAGTCCATTTTTATTCTGCGCTTATTACAACCATTTTCAAAGCCAAGGTCTCAAAATTTCTTTCTTCAATATAGGCTTATTTTATTTCCTTATTGAACGTCAAAAATCTATCATCGGTTCACTAAACATCTGTCCAGAGAAGAACCGGCATGAGACTGTGCGGTTTTGTTTCCGTTTTTTTTTTTAATGATACAAGTAAACAAAATTATTTTAATATAAAATCTTGCCCCTGCTGGGCAAAATACTAAATTATTTAGGTGTAAAATCGTCCCACTGCTGGGCAAAAGCCTTCTCTGTACAATGGGCATAGTTCACGACGCGACCGCACTGCGGATTGGCGGAGTTCATATGTTCGAAATGTTTTTTTTTGTTACTATTGCGAAAAATGCAGATTTCCTCACGATGTTTTCAGTCAGCACTTAAAATTAGCAATTTCCTTGGTGCCAGCACCGGAGATCGAACTCACGTTGCGAGTATACCTACATATATTAAATTAATAGCGAGCGCCATTGAAATTAGCTATCACGGCTCTAATTTAAATGTCATCTATTTTATTATAAAATCCATACTAATATTATAAATGCAAAAGTAACTCTGTCTGTCTGTCTCGCTTTCACTCCAAAACTACTAAACTGATTTAAATGAATTTTGGTACAGATATTCTAGAGCCTGAGAAAGGACATAGGCTATTTTTAATTGGATAAAAGTTTTTTAAAGGGTTGAAAGATGTTTATTTAAGGGCTTCAACGCGAGCGAAGCCGCGGGCGAAAAGCTAGTTTAATATAAATAAATCTTCTATTTCTACTAACAAACGATTTTCTGGTTTAAGCCAGTCTAAGCCTCGGTACAGAGTGTCACCACAGCCCGATGCGATGTGGTTTAATTAGTGTGCGGTATACTATTTGCGATTACTTTTAATTTTACGCAGTTTCCGAAATATAAAATTACATATAATATATAAATTAATAATATTATATAAATTAATATTATACAATATTATATTATATATAAATCCGTTCAACAGAAACGTGAAGCATGTATGAGCAAGTATGAATATGATGCGTGATGAAGTATGAATGCGCCAGTTTCAGTGCGCTAGTGTCATATCTTTGTATAAAATATAATTGATAATCTCTCTTTCCAATTACTAATCAATTAATATGATAAAAATAATATTTATTTCCTAAAATAAAATGAATAAACAAAGATTAGACAAATATTTTTTACATGTTTATTATACGTGACGTCCTTAGTAATTTTAACTACAAAATTTATGTATTATATAAACTTTCTTAGGAGAATTTTTATTGTTACTATTATTATCGTCTTTTAAATAAAGCTAGCTGTAGTAAGTTCGAACCGAAAACAAACAGTTGTCTCTTCATTGAGTGTGCTGCACATTGTGTAAGTGTAATATATGATGTGTGATTTATGTCCGGAGTTGTCTATTACCGTTAATTTACAATTGCCACGAGAATTCCGACATGACTTGACCATACAATGCCCGGGTGTGGAGGTATACTCGCGATAGCATCAGTCTAATAATGGGTTTCCTTAATATCTACAATTGTCGTCAATTTGACGTATTGCGACTCTTAAAATTGTTGCGGCTTTGTGCCGGAAAATGAAGCTGATCCTACGCATACGATGGCACAATGTTAGACCCGCGGTTTCCATTGCGAACTGGTTGGTTTTGCACTAATAGACCAGAGTACCAGGTGGGGAAGTGGTCGTAGGTAATCCCGCGATCTCAGAGTAAACCCATTCAATCTCGCCTTGAACACGCTCGCATTATAACTCGTCCGAACACCAATACTGTAATTTTAAGTATAATAATTTTGCGTTTATTCTGGTGAGTGAGGTAATCGGACCCAACTTTTTCGTATGTTTCCAATAACTAAACGGTGAAACGCCTGCTGATATGCCAAATTTAATATTTAAAAAAAAATTAAATAACTTCCCATAACTTGCACACAAACTCCTTTGTTCTTAATGCGTTGGACATAGTTAAATACCAGTAAATGCATAATTAATTTATCATTTACCTAGTAGCTATTCACTTTATCTACAAGTATTGCGATCGTTTGTTTAAATAAATCAACAAAGTACACACAAATATATATTTTATACTTCAGATGACTTTAGTTCAACGGTTCACTAAATTGTAATTGCTTCTCTTCAGGTTAGGATTGACCCGTCTCAATTAGATTGGCGAGTTTATTTGGATCAGATGTGCCAGTTTGGGACGTTCGGCACGTGACCGTGTTCCGATTACGTCCTTACACTTTACTAACGCCCGTTTTCAATATTCTATCTATCCGTAGATTTGGTAACTGGAGACAAAATTTTATTTGGTAGTTATTTCATGCAATAATCTGTGTGTTAGATCGGATCAGTGAATCTGGTGCCGGCACCAATTAAATTGTTAATTATAATCGATGACTTAATACGTGCTCAGCGGTAAAGGAAACCATAGTTATGAAACCTGAATAGGTTTGAAATCATAACATAATTTTTTTTCGAATATGTGATGTCTGCCAATCCGCAGTGGAGTCGCGTGGTGGACTATGCCCTAATAACTGTATAGAGGAGGCCTTTGCCCAGCAGTGGGACATATTTGACTTTACTTTATTTTATTTTGTATTGATGGAAATATTAACATACTTTGGTGCACTATTCGAACATTTTGTTATTCGTATTGAATGAGTTTCTTTACAATAAATGACTTCATGATGAACAACGAATAGCGTTTTAATTGGGTTGAATTTGCTTCTTTGATAAGTAAAGTTGTTCGGGGCAAGTCTGTAAGAATGATTCTCGCAAAGAAACGTGTTTATTAATGTTGGTTAAATGCTGTTGATGTCATTGTGCGCATCCATGAGTCTCTAAACAATAGAAAATGTAGCATATTAATGATATATTCAATTCCCATCGTCATTTTTTAATTATATGCTTCGAGTAGATGATGATCTTTTAATAATTAATAGGCAGTTAAACAGTAGCAGACATAAACAGTTCTCACATTATATTTCAAAATACTGTTATATAAGAGTACACAACGATGACTACAAAGTTTAACATTTCTTATGCTAATACACAATTTGCTTACTGCTCTCAAATACTCATTGAATAAATATATTGTTTTCGACTTAGATATACAAAGGTTGGCTTTTTTACTCTAACGAACTAGACATAGATATCAAATCGTATCTGCCTTTGAGCGAATAGCCCTCCTTATATTAATCTTAAGCAGCGATATTATAAGACTTTACAATAATTAGTGGCCTCATTTAAGTTCTATAATAAGGACAACTGTAATCGCAGAAAGGCAGTTAGGTAGGCCCTAAATTTAATAATTATCTTAAGAATAACATCGGTTACCTATTTAATATCAATATATATAAAATGTATTTATAATAAAATAAAAAAATTATTTAGACAATTTAATAAAATATATTTTATTAAATTGTCTAAATAATTTGTATCACTGGTCAATGGTAACACTTATTTTTTTTTCTTAAGAATTAATGGAGTGTTATGAGGGTTTTCCAAATTTTTATCCCAGCTAAGGCGGCAAGAGCAACGCCAAGTTTTTGATATTTGGTCAACGATAGTACAATGATAATACATTTAACAGGATCGATTGTTCCGGACAGTGACTACCGACTGAAATTGACAGCCTAAATAGGTAATTAGTGTAAACAGAATTCCCTTATTCCAATTTCCAGGACACCAATTTTTAGGGCCCTAATTATTGTATAGTTTAATCATACATGTTAATTGATATTAATTGCGCAGCAGTCACCGGCTCGCAAGTATATCGCTATAACCTTCTACTTCATAAAATATCATTTTTCCATTCCCTTCGTCCCCAGCTACCGACATGGGTGTGGAAGGGGTGATGGTATCCTACAACTACTCCGAGAACGGGGAGCTGGCCAACATCCTGACGGTCGCAGCGTCGGGGATAATGTTCTCTAAGCGTTGGGTGCTCACCCACGGCTCGATACTCTCGCCGTTGAAAGAAGCGGGGGCCATTAAGAACGCCAAAGGGCACCCAATCCTCAACGAGGAGTTCTACGACAAGCTGCCGGAGATATACGTGACGTGCGAAAAGCAGCAGCCGGACGTCCGTACTGTGTATGAAGAAGTGGAGGCCTTGAGCCGGCAGCGGAATCTGGACTACGACCCTGACTTCGAGCACAGTTGCTACCAGATCAGCGTGCTCACGGGCAGGTAAGGTTATCCGAACAGTGTAAATGGATTACACACATATTCTACTCCACGTCGGTCTTCTGAAGCCGCTGTACTTCCACAAAAGAACTGTTCCATCGATGCAACAGCAGAAGAAAATGCGTGTCGCTACGGGTAGTGGGACACAGGCAATATCGGAGGGGTCACAGTGCGAGGGGCTTAAGCGTGATTCAATAGCTAAATTTAATAAAAGAAAAGTAGTAAAAGAACGTTTGTGTGTTAAAGGTTGTTATAATATTAAAGATTATTTAATTTACGCTTTTTAAATCGGAGTTTATTGTATTTAATATATTCATGTACACACCATGTACGTCAAAACATGAAAAATAAAGTGAGTTTCTTTCGCCGGTTCTTCTCAGTACAGTGCCTTTCTTTTCCGAATCGGTGGTAGTATTTCGACTTTCACTAAGCGAGTGTTAAGCTCCTATGTTGAATAAAGATATTTGAATTTGAGTGCTCTCGCCAGAATCTGCCACGTGTGGCAGTGCCCCGTCCTCGACCGCTGCGTGGACGACATCCTGTACAGCTGGACCATCGGCCACCGGGACGGCGACCTGATGAAGCAGAAGGAGCTCGGCAAGGCGTTGCTCTCCGTGTTCGTACTCGTGGACCTGGAGGACGGCAACCGAGGTAGGAGGGTTCTTTACACCTCAGGGGGAGTTCTTTCCACCTCAACTTTTCTTTACGCCTCAACACCTATTTCTTTACACTTCAACTGTGGTAGGGCCACGCAACGGCTGTTGCACGAATGGGCAGGTTCGTCTGGGTGTGCCGCGACCGCACTGAAGACCGGCGTGAAGTTGAAGTGTCATGCTTCTGCGTTCCTTCTGGTGAGCTAGCCGCAGCCCACTTTATTAAAAGGTGGCAACGCATTTGCTGCCCTATGGGTGTTACAATTGTGCATGGGCGGCGGTTATCACTTAACATCAGATGAACACCCAACTCGCTTACCGCCTCTCACGTAATATTTCTTCTATTCTACCCTAAAGCGTCCAGCAATATTAGATCGGACGTACCTTTCTCCGTGTCCTCGTTTGTACTACATCCTTCAGGTCAGTTAAAATTGGTAACGTCTCGGTATGACCGATCTATACAAACCGTCCACTTATGACCATTTTCACCATCGATCCCTAACTTTAAGGGATACCTAAATAAACAGAATTTAAATTCTAGTTGGTGAAAATGGGCATTTGTGGTCTAATGCTCGTTAACCTAGACTCGACTTCGAACACCAGACTGCGAAACCAAAAACACAAGTTTCTTAACTATGCACTCGAGTTACTTCTGTTTAAGACATTAACATTTAGGACTGTTATCTACTTAGCGACAAGTAAACCTCATTTATTTCCGGCTGGTAACAATATTCTATCTGTATTTGATTACTGGAGTTAAAATCTTGATGCAAGTATTATGGAACTAATATCAATTATGCATATGGCTAGTAATCAAATCTAGTTAGTCAAATAGGAATCTTTTAGATGAGTAATTTAATGTAACATTTCATCTGATTTTTTATTTATTGTTATACAAGTAAGCTATAGACAATATATTTATAAGAAATAAGCGCTCGCTTTTAATTCAACCTGAGTACAATCACGGTGCCGGCACCAATGAAATTGTTAATTTATTAAGTGCTGTGATAACATGCTCAGCGTTGAAAGAAATCATCATTTTCATGAGTCAGAATAACTGTTGCTCTATGGACTGTACATCTGTATGTCTCAGATGTAAACAGCATTATGCGACAAAACGCAAATTTTACAGTAGAGACAGAAAAGTGCGTGGAGTGAATAATTGAATCATTATTGATTATGATGTATATACGATTGGATATTCTATTAATTAGGCGTCGTAGGACTTAATGCTTTATACTATTGCGTATAATTTTTTCTTGCGATTTTAAAGACGTAAGAAAAATAATTTTGAAAAATGTGGAGTTACTATTGTATACCTCTGAGGTACAGATATACAGCGTGTCGTCACTACCGCGACAATAAATGAACACACGTCTAACGCTACTTGCCAGTAATCATAAAAAATAGAAACGTTAAAAAATCCATAATTAAAAAAATATATTTTTCAAACAAACTAAATAAATAAAAAAGAAACAAAATTTGTAACATCCTATACAACTACAACTGACTGATTTATACATTCAGAGACTTTTTCATTCGTTGCCACAGTGTCGCATTGCAAGCCTCTCCTTCTAACAGTATGTTTTGTCTCTTTTAAATTCATTCAACCCATTCATATGCTTTGTGACCTTTACAAATGAACTTTACGTTACAGTTTTATACATAAGGTTGTTTATACTGATGTTTAAAGAATGTAAATGTTTAATGCAATTTTAAAAAGTTATCCTCTATATATGTGTGTGTTATTTATTGTCGCGGTTGTAACGACACGCTCTATATATTTTTCTCGTTATAGGTAGGTTTTCGTTATAATACCGTCGTATAATTAAGTACACACTGTTATATTAATTATAACTTTATTGTTCAAAAACCATGAATAATATTATATTCCCAGAATCAAGATCTAGGAATCTCACACAACACAACCTGTTTTTCAGGCCTTCAGTGCCCTTACAATTTAAAATAAACGTACTAGTTCGATTTTCAATAACGTATCGGTGGTTGACTTTTTTGCGGAACACTACTCCTCGTCACCGCACGTGTGACGCATCTCTGAAAAAAAAAATTACATAAAATTTAAGTGCAAAAACCGGCCAAGTGCGATTCGGACTCGCGCACAAAGGTTTCCGTACCATTATCTATAAAAACGGCAAAAAAGCCTTGCCGTTTATAAGGGAGACCAGCTTAAATATTATTTATTCTGTTTTTCATTATTTGTTGTTATATTGGCGACAGAAATACATCATCTGTGAAAATTTCAATGTGCGTGATCTCTACGTCTATATAGATGAATAAAACTGGAGTGTCTGTCTGCAATATTAAAATATCCGCTTTTTACTAAATGCTTCATTATGGATGTATATCTAAATACCATTACAAGATATATCTAAATAACATTTTTTTACAATTTTTGTCTGCCTGTCTTTCTGTTTCTCTGAAAGGACTGGACCGATTTCAACGGGTCTTCCACTGGCAGATAGCTGATGTAATAAGGAGTAACTAACGCTTCATTTTTTTAGAAATATTATTTATTTTAAATTCCACGCGGACTAAATCGCGGGCACATCTAGTTTTTTATAAAAAAAAAAACATTTCCCCTTACTGTTGGATGACAATATGCTGTGTTGTAAGTATGTATGTAAAACGTTACATACATAAATTTCACATGGAGAAACACCCAAATCCAAAACAATTACCAGTGGGTAACACAAATAGTTGTCTCGTGTGGGATAGAACCCACGAGTTCCGGCGCCGAAGCTTCGCAACTGCGCCAAGGAGTCATCAAAACATATAACGAATATTGACATCTTCAGGAGAAGAATTAATAAAAGCCTATGCCTAAATCCGGCACCAAGCAAAAGCAAGCAATATACGTTTACATATTTATACTCTGTTCAGTTCGCTCGCAATTTGTGCTGGCGCTCGGTCAAAATAAAAAAAATATACACCGTCGAGCGGGTCCGCGCGCAACGTGTAGTCGTGGCGCCACTTCCACACAGAGCCCATGTGGGCGGGCGGGGGCGGCAGGATCGTGTAGTTGTGGTCCACCGCGTCCTTCTTCAGCATGCCGATCACGCCCATAAACAACCCGCCGAGGAGTACAGCGTGGCCGGAACGGAGGTACGCGCCGAGAATCGGACCGCACGCCAAACCACCTGCGCACAATAATCATAATAATAATAAACAAATTTTTACACAACGCGCTCTAGTTACAAACTAAGCAACGATTGCACTATGGGTACTAGATAACTGAAAAAATACTTAAACATACTTTTCTTTTTAAGAAAACACCATGTTCATCGCACAATATTTTTCCAGTAGTCTGTGGCAAAGGGGGCAGTTACACTACCCACTATGCCATTCGGTTATATCAAGTTAATATATTGTGTTGTATAGCAATGTACTCTGATATTCGTAAGCCCATTCACAGTAAAGCCCCAGCAAAACAAATGAGAGCTAATCGCCCACAATTACCGTCAGTAAATAGACTGCGCAGAGGTCATTCATATATGTGAGATATGTGCTTAAAAATATTGAATATTTATTGGAACTTTTGCATTTGATTGTCATGTGTCGAGTTAGCACGTCATAACCGCGATTACTGCAGACTCAGCATGGCGAAGGCGCATCGAAGGAACGCTGACACCATTAGTTTTAGTTCATAAGTTTTTGTAATTATAAATCAGTCCATTCCAAATTGTCATACAGTTAACACCTTGTAATTAATTAAATAAATCTTTTTTATTGGAATACCGATCGCCGATTACTTAACTGGCGCAGTCGGTAGGATCGCAGCACTTTCGTATTGAATCAAATTTTCTATTACGATTGTGTCACGGTTCTCAAATCGTACCTTGAGCGATCCTAAAGAACCTCAATCGCGCGATCGGGCAAGGACTCGTCAGGAGATGCAGAACATCCTGGGGTAAGTACTCTAGTTATCCAAGTGTTCCTGCTCTATTTCCTGTCTTAATTTAGGTATTTTTTTTTTATTGAGTGTGTATGTCTATAAGCTTTAATCGCAACAGACATTTCCCATTCTATTAGTATATTTATAATAATAAGATCAACAATAAATTATTTAAATAAGAAGTTAAAATAAATACAACAAATTAAAATGCATAATAAAATCAATAACTTTGTTTAAAATTATCATCAGTTCGTTTGTCAGTTAGCTACAATCGCACGAGACATCCGATACTTTGAACGAACGCGAGCGTCATTCCATTGTTCATTAAACTCCTTAGAATCAGGAATTTACTGTACTTAATACGTATCGCTATTGTTTTATGTTAACGGGAATCGTAAGTTAGTGAGAAACAATGTCTTTAAAAGATTTCAATACGAATTTTAAGTTGATAGTGGATTTAATGCCTCGATATGATGGGAATCCTAAACTATTAAGTCACTATATTCGCGAAGTCGAAAATATACTGAATTTATTGCTAGACGAACATGCTCGGACACACCCGTTAGTAAGTTGTCTTATTAAGAGTAGGCTTAGCGACACCGCTGTAGAAGCCTTAGCCTATGAGGAATATTTAGATACGTGGGAATCCATTAAAAATGCTCTTATTAGAGGACTCCGTCAACCGCGAAATGAGTTTCAGGTGATGCAAGAACTTACACATACTCGCCGTTCTAGACAGGAGGATGCCGAGAACTTCGGAAAACGGCTTAGAGAATTGCTAGACACCTTACTCTTGATAGGCAGTCATAGCAATAAAAAAATTCTATGAGAACATGGTCATAGAACAATATATTGATCAATTAGACTTCCATGTCTCATTCGGACTAAGAATCGCTAAACCCGATACGTTAGAGCTGGCTATAATAGCGGCTAAACAGGAAGAGGCTAGGCTTGAATATAATAAAGACACTAATTTTAATACACTGTCAACATTTCAAGCTAAGGCGAAGGAGTTATTTAAAATGAACCCTAATTACCCATATCAAAATTATGGTAACCCGTATATGGCGCCTACTTATTTAGCGCTTCATATGCCACAACCCCTTTTTAGCCACAATAATAGAGCAGCCCCTGAACAACGGCAGCAGTGGGTACAGCCAATGCAACCCTGGATACCACAACCAACTTCAGGTAACTTTAGAACAGGTGGCTCAGGCAACTTCAGAAGCAGCAATTTCAGGGACCAGCCAAACATAACTAAACAACAGGTAACCCATCAAAAGCCTTCTGACGTGATTATGAGGTCTGTAAACAAGACTCCAAGACCGCAGTTCACCACCGAGGAGATCTTTTACACTCCCAGTCAGATGACTAACCATACGCAATTATACTCCAACGAAGGTGAGTATCAGAATAGTATTCAACCGGTCGACAGCGATGACTTCGATACTGATGTTTACTTTAACAAGCAAGACTCCAACCAGGTTTCTCCTTTGGAGGAGACAGGACGACCAGAGCTGGTAGAGATGAACTTCCAAGATAAAGACCACCACCCCTACATCAAGCTACCTGAATTTCAAGGTAAATTTTTAGTAGATACAGGAACAAGTCACTCTACTATTTCACCCGATGTTATTCGTGATTCTAGCTTTGAACAGTGTGTAGATTATGAACCCTTTGAAATATCAACGGCACATACTGTTTCGCGTCATGATCATGTGGTCTATTTGCCCTTACCACCCGCGTTTAATAGCAATATTACGCATAAATTTTTAATTTTTGATTTCGATCCAAAATACAAAGGTCTAATCGGATTTGACTTGTTGCGAAAATTAAAAAGTAACATTAATTTAAATAATAACTCGTTACACACCTCAACAGCGGATATACCGATATATTTTAACTACCCATACCAAAAAGCTTAAAGAAGAACCTAGAGGCGAAAAGTTAATGACATTCAAGACCCATTACATAGAAGGACAGTACTTATATCACGATTTCTATTGGTCTGATGGCTTAAAATCACCCGCAGCGATAGTTAACGTTAAGAACGGGACGTTTAGAAGATCTGGTATTAACTTAAAAGCTGATAAAAAATATATTTCAAACAAAGCCCCTATTAGATTAGATATTTACTCTAAAAATTTAAATAGAAATAGTAGTTGTGAATTAAACTATATACAAAAAATAACTAACAAAGACAACCCCATTCAACATATTATGAAGTACGTGATCATAGGATACAATAAGGGGATACATTTCGTAACAGGCTATAAACCACATGAACTGCTATTTGATCACACAGAATCTCGAAATACCTTAGAAATGTTTAACCCGAAGGAATTCTACCAGGATTATGTACTCAATCACCGAATAAAAGTAAAAGCGATACAGGAGTGTATTGCAGCTTACATGTCCGGTAACATAGAACAGGTTATCGCGAGAAGAAGCCGAGATGCTGAAGAAGTATCTTTCAAGGTTAGTGAAATAGTATATAAGCAGGTGGCAAAGACAGCGCGGAATGACAGGACAAAGCCTGTCTTCAAAGGACCCTATAAGGTAATCCATCTACACCCCAATAGTATCGCAGAGATTTTATTTTTCTTTTATTTTTTTTTATTTTTAAAAGGCCTATCAACAACTGTTTACACTATATCTTAATAATAAAAAAGGAAAGAAACAAAGTACTTGTATAAGTGTAACAATAACTTAAAGATAAGCACAGAAAGTACAGTTAAACATCATAAAAATAAATATAAAATTAAAAACATAAATAATGAAATAGTAAAAAAATTAAAATGTAGCTTAAAATAAACAGCTGTAAAATAAATTAAATTAAATTATGGTATGTTTATTACATAAGGTAAAATGTATATATTCAAATTTTAGAAAGTGAGGTATATATTATTTAAGAGACTTTGGCTATTGAGTCAACTTGAAAATCTATTTGATCGCTAAAAAGATTAATTGTTTTGCAAAATTTAATATAAGGAGAATTACTTCCCAGCACTGTTCTTCTTAGTGGTGGACAAAGTGGTGTAATAGGTTTGCGAGGGATTCTTATAGGTACTCGAAATTTAAGCAAATTCAATAGTTGTGGGCTATCAATTTTGTTATTTAATAGTTTACTCACAAACTTAGCATCAAGCACTTCTCTTCTATGAGATAAAGAGTTAACCTTGAAATAATTAAGTCTTTCTTCATAAGATCGTAGTTCTCTTGACTTACCCTCAGAAAACGCCAAATGCCACATAAACCATTTTTGAACTCTTTCTATACGTAATGAGTGCGTAGCGTAATGCGGCAGCCAGACTACACTACAGTATTCAAGGATACTTCGGACTAGGCTATTGTAAAGCCATAATTTAGTTTTGAAACTACGAAAGGAATGACAATTTCTTACGATAAATCCTAACATTTTAGATGCTTTTTTTTTTTTGTTATATTTTCTAAATGTGCATTAAACGTTAACTTACTATCATAAATTACTCCAAGATCACGTACAGTGTCTACTTCTTTGATTGCTGTATTGTTTATGCGGTATATATGCGGAGATAATAGGTAGTCACCCAAATTCTATAAGAGTTCACTTCAAGTTACTACGTAGGCCTCATCTTGTTCCAAGATCCTCGTCGCAGGAATCATGAACCGCAAAAGTGACCCTGGATCCCATTAGTAATGATAACGGCGTACTATTACTCAAATAGGGACAGTTACTTAGACAGACCGAGTACTTTAGCCTAGCTTGTGTGTATAACACAACAAACAAAGTTAGCAACAATTAAATGAATTGAATTTAATGGCATTATATGCAAGCACTAAAGATGTTGAAAATACCTTAACATCTAATTATAGATATAAGTCCTACGAGGATCTAATATTATATAGTATAAGTTTAATAAATAAGAAGTTAGCATATTTGATTCCCCCAGTTAGAGTAAAACGCGGAATAATAAACGGATTAGGTACAATCGTAAAAACAATAACCGGCAACTTAGATAATGACGATGCTGTTAAATTCGAGAAAGAAATTTCAGATATAAGTAACAAGGTTAATAGAGTTCAAAATTCACAAAAGAAATCTTTAATATTAGCAAAAAGTATAATCAATGAATTCGGCAGTCAAATAAGTAAATTAGACGAAAAAGTTAAGATAATATTGCAAAATATAACGATATAATAAATATATTAATATTAGATATTAATATTGCAAAATATAACAGATATTAATATTGCAAAATATAACGCAAAACTCTAATGGAATTAGGGACAGTTTTCATTTATTAGATATATATTTACAGATAGACTTAAGTTTACAAATAATTTTAGAAAAGTTAATGACTTTGGAAGATGCCGTCACGTTCGCTCAATTAGGAACTATGCACCCAAGCGTTATTAGTCCACAAAATCTTATTAAAGAATTAGTAATTTTGCGTAATTATTATTCAATGAATCCAGTAGATGAGATAAATATTATAAATATACATAAGATAGAGAAATCTATAAAGGTTAAAGCATATAGTACACCACACTCGATAAACTTTATCCTGGAAATCCCCTCTGTTGATTCAAAAATATACGATTTTATTCACCTTTACTCCATTCCTGACCGCAACAACCTAACTATAATCCCAGAGTCCAAATACCTTGCACTTGGTAGCGATGAGTACGCCCACATCGAGGAAGAAGACTGCCAACCAATCACCAATGACACTCATATCTGCAAATCCCTGGAAGTCAGAAGAATGAAAAAACACACAAGATTGCATAGCGTCGCTGGTTCAACATCAGAAAGCCAATTGCACGTTATGCCAAGCTGCACCTGACCAAAGGAAAGATCCAGAAAATCCGGGATAACAGCTGGATACTGATCCTGCAAGATGATGAAATTATCAAAATCCATTGTGGCACCAAGACAGACTACAAAAAGACGAAAGGAACTTTCATAGTCACACTGACTGAAGATTGTCGGATACATGTCCTGAATAGCACACTACAGACCCACCTGAGGACAGTCTTCAAACGACGAAACCATCCCCCTTCCTGAAGCACAGCAAATCACGCAAGAACACATCAAGTTTGAATAAATTCAAGAGGATATCTCATTAGACAGCATCCACAAACTCATCATCAAGATAGATGACAAAATCCCACAAGATGAATCCAACTGGACAACCCTGATGGCAACCCCCAGCTGGACAACTTTAATATTATACGGGCTGCTGAGTGTAGCGGCCATCTGGAAGCTGTAGAAGTGGAAAAGCAATAGACTACCACAGGAAATCAACAGCAGCGAGGACGCTGCTAGAAGCTCCAACTCTCGCTTCTATCTTAAGGAGGGAGGAGTTAGCACGTCATAACCGCGATTACTGCAGACTCAGCATGGCGAAGGCGCATCGAAGGAACGCTGACACCATTAGTTTTAGTTCATAAGTTTTTGTAATTATAAATCAGTCCATTCCAAATTGTCATACAGTTAACACCTTGTAATTAATTAAATAAATCTTTTTTATTGGAATACCGATCGCCGATTACTTAACTGTCGGCGTAAATATTTTTTGGTTCTTGTAATTAATGCTAGGTTTATTTTTGCGATAAACAAATGTTTTCAAGGATATGTTTTTGAATGGCGTCAAAGCGCCATCTATGGTAATTAGAGCGTAAACACCTGAGCACAGTGTTAACAACTAGTAGTTAGCGCTCATTGATAGATGTCGCTATTTCGTATCGAGTACGTCAGTATATTGAAATCACATTTAATAATATAATATCTATTATCTACCGAGATGGAAGACGTCTACGTAAGATCGTGATTGATATATTAGCTATTCCCGCATTTTGCATCGACGGTTTGTTTCGTGAATTGTTAGCAAATGCCTTTCAACCTTTGTTCAGAACCATTTAGCAGCAAACTTATCAAAATATCGCATGTATAATATTATCGATTCTCACCTAGCAGATAATTGATGGGGCCGTCCTTCTGACGAAAATGCAAGGCGCCATTTGCCACCACGGAGAAAGTGGCGCCCATCAAGCCGAGAGGCACCATGTGGTAGACATACCTGTCCCCAAAAGGCGTGGCTTGAAAATCTCAATCCGAAAATGTTTATATACATCGGAACTATAATGTCGATGTATATTAGATAAAAGTTTAACAACTTCCTTTTAATTATTCATCAGCTAAATCTTTAAAATTAGCGATGTTAAAATATTACGAGCACCATAACATGGCAGAAATATTCACTCAAATTGTAAAACGAAACAAAATTTCATCATATGTAGTGATGTATTTATTATATTAACGTACGCTTATTTACAATTCTTTAATATTTAGATAGAATAATATAGATAGTATTTCCATCTCGAAATTCATGCATTTTAAATAGGTACTATTACAGCTAATTGGCTAACCTAAGCTATTGCTTAGGTTAGCCAATTAGCTGTAATAACAGCATATTATACCTTACAGAAACGATTCAGGTGACATACAAATAAGTTTTTACTTCATTTATACTGTTTATAAAATTACATTCACATATCGTAGTTTGGTGAGGTTCTGACTACTGTAACCAAGTGAAATAAAACTTATCCTATAATTTATCCTATTTGTCCTTACGAATTCATTGATGAAAATCTACGACCGCGCCACCTTGTCACAGAGCAGTGAGATCGTTCTAAATCATAGCGTCATATCTACAGTCAGCACTTACCACTGAACGAACACTCTCTTACCTCTTCAACACGGGGATGACGCCCACCGCGTGCGAGTAGAACAGAACATCGATGGTAGAAAACGCTAGTGCGGTTATTGCTGCGTATCGTGTGGTCACAATGGTCTGCAGGAAACGGGACTATTTCAAAAACCATCCAGCTAAATGTAGCAAGCGAAATGGCGATGTCCTGGTGATATCCGCCGCCTATGGACATTTGCAACACCCCTAGGGTTGTGGATTAGAGCCTTTTTTCTCTATCGTTTAAAATGTTTTTAATTGCAATGTTTGTAATTGCCACCGTTTTATAAAGTGGACCGCGGCTACCTTACTCATTAGACGCAACCGCAGATGTGTAACTCCACTTCATGCAGATCAGGTGAGGTCGTGGCACTTACCCGGACGGACCTGCCCATTCGTGCAACAGCGCAAGCTGCTGCGTGGCCCTACCACCGTTAAATATAGCTCATATAACAGAATAAGACATAGGCTGTATTTTATATACATATTTTTATGTATATCTGTCTTTCTGTCTGAATGTTACGCCTTCAGCCTACTCTACGCTGACGTAGTCGCGGGCAGCAGCTAGTATTCTATATAATTACGTGTACCGTTAGTCTCTATATATAGATTATTAGGATACGCGATCCCACTGCGAATTTAGGTTACCTTTTTCACATTACTTGCCTTTTTCAAAACATCACAGCCATCAGGCGTGTCGTAGTATGTATAATAGCTACGCGTCGGCTCATTACAGTTGCACGACATTTTATCCTTTTATGTAGTTGTCAATGAACTGTCAATCGGTTATCGTTTTAAAACTTAAGTCGTCGTTTGCACCAGTACCTAACGTTCAGCTGTTTGGCATAATTACAATTATTTTGAATAAATTCAGTAAATTCGCTAAAAAGACCTGTTAATTTGTGTTTTTATCATGAACAAAGGGTTATCTAGGAATTAAAAGAAAAAACATTTAGGCCTTTTTGTGATGAGACAGTGAGATGATTTCATCGTCATCAGTTTTTAAAATATCTACAACTAATCCAAATTAATCTAATTTCGACAGATCGAAAATTTAATTCAACATTTCAATATATTATGTCATGACTTGGAGCATTTAATACATAGAAATCTTACATAGCGGATGAAGAAATGAGAGAGGCTTCTAATTAATTTTTAATAATTAGGTGCAATTTGAATAAACTAATTAATCGATTCATTAGTTATACGATATACCGTCAAAAAATTTGAATACTTTACTTGTACATTTAAAGCTTACGCGTTTATTAATATAATATTAATGAGCAACGTTTGGTCATATACACAAATATCCTTGCGACGTAAATAAATGTTTGGTCCAAACATGAGCATTTTTTATATGAGAAGGTGGCAAACGAGCTGGCGGTTCACCTGATGTTAAGTGATAACCGCTCATTGACGTTTGCAACACCCGTAGGGTTGTAGATACGTTGGCACCTTTTACTAAAGTGGGCCCCGGCTACCTCAGTCACCGGACGAAACGCAGAAGTGTTACACTTCCACCTCACGCTGGTATTATGCGAGGTCGTGGGACATACCCGGAGGGATCTACCCATTGGTGGAACAGCTAAGACCGTGGCCCTACCACACATTTAGATTTAACTTCCATGTGCCTGTAGATAACTCTTGTAACAGTTGAATAAATAATATACATGTCGTAGGTTTGAAGACGTTGAGACCACTCTCGGAGCTGCTGGACATGGTGCAGCCAGCGCCGGGGCGCGGTTCCACCATAGAGGTCCAGTCTACGCCGTTCGGATCAGAGGTTAACTCGCTGTATCCGGTTGGGTGGTAGAACTTGGTTTTTTTATTTTGTGTAAGTTGCCAAGAGAGCAGGCGATTCACCTGATGTTAAGTGAATACCGCCGCCCATGGACATCTGCTACACCCGAGGGTTGCAGATGCGTTGACAACATTTTGAAAATTGGGCTCCGGCTACCTCACTCACCAGACGAAACGCGAAAGTATTATACTTCCACTTCACGCTGGTTTTCTGTGAGGTCGTGGTACTTACCCGGCGAAGCCCGAGGTTGCTGCGTGGCCCTACCACAGTTAAGTGGTAGGCCCACGCAGCTGTTTCTGCTGTTGCACGAATGGGCAGGCTCACCTGAAGAAGTGCCACGGCCACAGAAGACCGGCTTGAAAGGGCAAGTGTTGTACTTTCGCTGTTTGTCTTCTGGTGAGTTACGTAAACGGGGACCATGTTTTCAAAGGTTGGCAATCAGGTAGTTGATTCAGGTAAAAAATAAACCGCTTAGCCGCTTGTCAACTTTTCAATAAAAAAATGTTAATGTTGTGCCCATTACAAGTTTTTATTAACATTACAAGAAGAATCTCTTGAAGAAAGAATGAAATTAAAAATGGGATCTAAACCAGGTGGATGGGGTGTTTAGAGTTACATGGGATTAATACCCATTACAACTCTTCTCGTGGAGGCCGCCAAAGCCATGGAGGATCCATGGCTTTGGCGGCAGTTTCTCACGGACCCCCAACCTGGGTATTTGGTTCTATTTCTCTAGTTTCAAGAATGTTTCCTTTCGTAATTCAAATTATAAAGCAGTTAAATAATAAATAAACAGCGCTCTAATAATCTTGAGCGGTCGATGTAGAAAAGGATGTTCTTCCGCTCCAGGCATTCCTCAACGCGGTCACCAAAGGTTCCGTATGCGGCGTGGTGGGCAAGAGACCGTCTCTCCTGCTCACTGACGCCGCCACAGCCCTGGGCTCGGAGGGCGGCCCAGTCTACACAGAAGGCCCCGAGTAAATAACAAACTCTGTTTAGGGCTCCGTACCCAAAGGGTAAAACGGGACCCTATTACTAACACTCCGCTGTCTGTCTTTCTGTCCGTCTGTCACCACGCTGTATCTCGTGAACCGTGATAGTTAGACAGTTGATATTTTCACAGATGATGTATTTCCGTTGACGCTATATCAACAAATACTCAAAAACAAAATAAAAGTAATGTTTTAGTTTGGCTTCAATACAACAGACATTTTGTTTTGCTGTTTTTACAGATAATCTTACGAGTCCAACTCGTACTTGGGCGGTTTTTTTTTCTTTTGTTAAATATTTTTCCAAGACACATTCACTGCCTAGTTTGGAAGTCACAGTGTGGTTCATTATTCTCTTATTGTAACTTAACTGTAAAAAAAAGTAAAGTAACCTCTCGTACATGTCTCCTAATTTTTTTTGGAAAATATGTAGGTTTCCTCGAGATTTCCTCCACCTGCGCACGTGATAAGTCAACACTTAAAATTGACAATTTCATTGGCGCCGGCGCCGGTATTCAAACTCGGTTGGCACATATTTCGAATTGAAAGCGGGCACCCAGACGCTGAGCTATACGCCTCCAGTTGTAATGGTCTTCCTCTTTTCGTGTCGATGGCAAGAAGCATCCACACGGTATCAGCCCAAAATTCAGCCACGCGAATTGCACTGTGGGCAGCATTCAACAGCTCCTCCCGCGTACAGTTGGTCGGGCACGCAGACCACGACGTCAAATGTTCCATGGTTGGGGGAACAGCACCACGTTTGCACCCCGATCTGGAGCCGTCTGAGAGCCATCGTGGTAGTGGTGATAGGCTGGGACGGTGGCCGTTGCAGCGGTGCGCTGGTGGGCGTGGTGGTGTGCAGCGTGTCGTGGTGGCGCGGCGAGTGGGTGGGGCTCACGCTGGCGGCGCCGCTGGGGGCGCTGCTGTCCGCCAAGCTGAGGGTCCCCCCTCGACCGCCGCCCCCCCGCGCCTCCCCAACCCCTTCGCGCACGTCCTAGGTACCAGCGCTAGGTTAGGTCTCAGTTGATGCAGCAAGCAGTTATGAAAGCTAACGCCCAGACTCTGAAATACTGATGATCGTAGAAGTCTCCTAATCAGCTGTCAAATGGCTTTTCGAATGTCATTTGAGTTGCCAAAAGGATTGTTAAACTCTCTGAATTGACCAGAAGGATCTTCTTAATGCTGGCTACGTAAGCGATACAGTGCGTGACGTCAAACGACAGTCTGTATGACGATTCAACTGTTGTAGGGCCACGCAACAGTTTTCGTCGTTGCACGAATGGCCGGGTCCGTACGGGGAAGTACCACGACCTCACAGAAGACCGAGGTAGAAATGGAAAGTGTCTGCGTTTCGTCTGGTGAGCGAAGTAGCCGGGCCGGCTTTGTTAAAAGTTGGCAACGCATCGCATGTCCATCGGCGGCGGTTATCACTTTACATCAGGTGAACCGCGAGCCCGCTTGCCGCCTAATATAAAAAAGACCACGGATATTCTATTCTCCATTCGGGCAAAATGCTCGTCCGTCGTGAATCTAACAGTTGCGGCTTGGGTTTGATTCCCATTTACTGGAAAAATATCGTGCGATGAACGTAATCTCTTTCTAGCGTTATTAATTTACAAAAAACAAAGCATGTTTAAGTATGTTTATTCTATCTCTGTATCACTAACGCAGCCGTCCGAGTTGCCTCGAAGTGCGGGCAAGACTGAAAACCGGTGTAGGAATCCGAACGAATTTTAATTACTGTATCTCGACTTTTACCGAGTCCCGTCCGTTTCACGGTCTTATGTGTAGAACACAGACCTTCACTTATTGTGAAGGTCTGTGTTCAACAACATGAACAAATAAAATAATATGTTTGTTTCCTTGTTATGTTTACATTTATTTTAAGTTTCTCCAATATTATTTTGTATATTGTGTAGTTACATCGTTATTTTTAAGTTTTATATGCATCCATTGTGCGTAGACCGTGGATAAACGTTTGTTCTTCTTCTTCTATTTCACTCTTTGTTGAAATGCGTTCTTGGGGTGGAACCGACTCGATGTCGTAGAGCGCATCGACGGCACGGCGGTGTTGGTGCGATGCGGCGCGGCGTGGGGCGCGGGGATCCACCTGGGCGGGGGCTACGTCATCACGTGCGCACACGTCGTGAGACAGGTACGCCCCTAGGTCATGGCACAGCAGCCCTGTAGTCCCGGGCTCATAGAATAGGGCTAAGGTATCCCCTGTCTGTCGTAAAAGGCGACTAAAAGGGGACACGGATTGGCAGCAGCACGAAGTGGTCTCGAGCTGCTGCAAGAGGGCGAGGGAATCGGGGGAGGTCTATCCTTCTTCGAGGCGTGCTCACGCACAGTACCGAGGGACTCTCGGCCACCGTTGGCCACCGCGGGGGTTTTAGTGGGAACTCCACATAACTCTGTCATGTAAGGTGACAGGTCATTACATAAAAAGGTCATGGGACATTTATTCAACATAGGTTCATTATTATATATATAATAAACCTATGTTTATGTGCATATTCAACACAGGTTTATTATTATTATTATATAATAAACTATGTTGTATACGTATACGATTAAGCTCTTATTCAACGTCAAAAACTACCACCGGCTCACAAAACTAGACCTGCCAGAGAAGAACCGGCAAGAAACTCTGCGATCTCATCTTTTGACAGGTAAGTATTTAAGGGTAAAATTAGCAGGAGCCAGGGGACTCGCTAGTGCAGAGCAAGAGTCGTTTCCGCACATCCTTGTCCTCAATGTATTTCTCGACATTATAATAGGCCCTTGCCATTAAGGTAGCTTTTACTGGTGTAGGAAGATGCCAAGATATCCGGGTGATGTGGGGTTTCTCCAAACGATAAATGTCACTGTGGCGAGGTCAGAGCTATGACCGATCTGCTGAAATGTCCGTTGTGTACCTTCGTCGATTGACACGAGCAAAGGGGGCGTTACTAGCTAGTTACTAATGAAATTACCGCTCAAACATTATTATTAATTAAATTTTTGAGAAATTTTTGAAGTGAAACTTCTTGATAGTGATAGATGATAGATGAATTTAAACGAAAAATTAAAAGTAAACTTATGGCAAAAGCCTATTATACTATTGCCGAATATCTTGACGACGCCAATGTGTGGGGTTAATACTGTTGCTACTCACGTAGGCTAAAACAAGACTATTGTACCTGTACTATTATATTGTAAACTGATTTTTTTAAAAAAAGAGCAACTGTTGAGTTTCTTGCCGGTTCCTTCTCAACAGAAACTGCTTTCCGAACCGGTGGTAAATTACGAACGTGATAATTTTTTGTAAAATTTTGACGTTTCATAAGAACGCGCAAGCGTCTATGTGAATAAAGATATTTTATTTTTATTATTATTATTAATGCGACTTCCAACAAAGTTGCGTTAAACGTTTAACGCTACATGGAGGGGGTATGAAAGCACTCTTGCGTTAAATGTTCAACGGTCCTGGGGAGGGGGACTCCACGCACTATTTCTTTTTTTTTGTTTATTGTGCAATCCAAATGAATTTAATTTCTCTCTAATTCCGTTTGACCACGCTTCGTAGAAAGTAGAAAAATTGTTTGGACTTGCTTCCAGCACGACTCGTACAAAGTGTCCCTGTACTGCGAAGGCGTGAAAGAGACAGCGATAGTCCGATACAAAACGGCGGACGACAAGGCTTACGACCTGGCACTGCTGTACAGCAACCCGGAGCATTGGAGGCACTTGTCGCCAGCACTGTTCGCCGAGGAACCGGCCGAGAAAGGTACGTCACTGTCTGTGCAACTTTGTGTCAACATATATTGTAACTAGCTGACCCGGCAAACGTCGTTTTGCCATATAAATTAAAAAATGTTTAGGGTGGACCACCCTTAACATTTAGGGGGATGAGAAACAGTTGAAAAATATGTTGTCCGATTCTCCACCCTGGCCGATATGCATACAAAATTTCACGAAAATCGGTGAGCCGTTTCGGAGGAGTTCAATTACAAACACCGTGACACGAGAATTTTATATATTAGATAGACTACTGTTAAACTTAAATTTCTACTATATTCAATTGTGTAAACAGTTTTTGAAGTTGTATTTTTCTAACTTTTGGAGCGTTTGGCGTAGCAGTTATCGCTTAACACTAAAATATTGTGTGATTAACTCAGTGTGTTTTTTTTTAAAGAATATGTAATTCTTACTTTGTTACGACTTGGGCAGGCGAGCCCGTGTTGGCGGCGGGATACCCTTTCTTCAGCGAGACTCACCTGCGCGAGCTGCGGCCGACGGTGACCAGCGGCCGGGTCACCAACGCCTCGCCATCCATGATGCACACCTCCTGCTGCGTCCAGTCTGGTTTCAGGTGAACGGCCCAGTAGGAATACTGATCGGCCCAATAGGAATGCTGAACGGCCCAGTAGGAACACTGAACGGCCCAGTAGGAACATTTAACGGCCCAATAAAAACATTGAACGGCCCAGTAAGAACATTTAACGGCCCAGTAGGAACATTGAACGGCCAACTCGGAATATTGAACGGCTTACACGGACTACAGAGAAAAATATATTGAATATGTATTCATTTTTGATAAATACATATTCAATATATTTGTATTTATTTTAAAAAATAATACATATTCAATATGTATTTATTTTCTAAATTTCATTCCCCTTCAATCACCGTGTTTGTTCTTAAGTGCACAAATAATTATTTTGCGTCTCAAAAAAATTTATATTTCTTGAATAAGTCACTAGATCATTCTGAAGGTGCGTATGTCCGTCTCTCTCCCACCAGCGGCGGCCCGATCTTCCGTCTCAGCGGGGGGCGGGCTGAGGTGCTGGGGGTGGTGGTGAGCACCGCGAAGAGCCACACCGGCGCCAGCTACCCTTACGTGAACATGGCGGCGCCAGTCCGAGCCTTCATACGGCCCCTGCAGAACTTCATACTGGACAAAGGTAAGCCATCCGCCACGCCGCGATGACTCCGTGGACAGTTGCCAAGATATTTCTTGGGACCAGAAAGAACTTGCCGGACTAGAGTGTCTTTAGATTTTCTTGGGGCCGATTCCGATACGAGACAACTGCTTGTTGGACCCACGGATGATCGTTTCGCATCTGGGTGTTTGTCCAAGTGGGATTTGTGTATGCGAAACGTGCCTACAACATGAGATGATACCATGCTATATTAAGGAAGTGAAGACTACAATAGACCTTGTAGGTCGCAGTGGACGTTGGCTCTTACTACCCAACCCCTTCCACATAAAGTACAAATCCACCACAGCAGCGTGTGCTGTTGCACAAATGGGCAGACTCATCCGGCGAACTACCATGTCTGGAGATCGACAAAGTGCAAGATAAGAGTAAGACCATACAGTCTTTCGAATTAGGCGCTGATTGAATTAAGCCCAACCGACTTCTTTTTTCAAAAACATCGGCAAAAAAACGGCACCCTATTAATAAAATTTCAAGAAGTCAAATTTCTCTCCGAGACTAAGACTCCGCTGTCTGTCTGTCCGCATGTCACTAGGCCGTATCTCATGAACCGTGATAGTGAGATAGTTGAAATTTTACATAAATGTTATGTACTGAACACGGTGTTATTCTCTGCAGACATAACGAAACTGCAACAGATCGAGAGCAAAAAGGAGACTATCCAGTCCCAATGGCGACTTCTACCTTATCGCTCCAAAATATGAGCTTAAATAGTGTCCGGTGCAAAATTAGGCGGGGAACTTTTATATTTCAATAACCTAGCATTATGGTGCCAGTTTACAACATATGTCAAATATTTGCATTATAAATGAATTTAATTCTATATTAGATACACCTAATTTATTTAACTTTACAAAATATGTGTACATTGTCTTTTTATTTTCTTCATTACGTTGTATTTATATTAACCATTGTAAATTTTGATTATGTGTAAGTAAGACAACATCACTTTGTACAAAACATTTGTATTGTTATAAATCAAGTTTTAATAGACATGTTACATACAAAATCTAATTATTTATAATATAACATACCAAACTAAAACATACATAGCTCAGTTTTATTTTGGCTTCTCTTTGTAATACACAGACAATTTCCCCATAAAGAAATAAATATATATCTAAAACTATTTAGTTAGCCTTAAATTTGATTTGATGACCCGAATGGCGTTGTGGGTAGTGTACCTGCCTCCTGCGCCAGAGGGTGTGGGTTCGATCCCCACTACTAGAAAAATATTGTGTGATGAACATGGTGTTTATATATGTATAATATGTATTTATTTCCAAAAAAAAAATATATGTTTAAGTATATTTATCAGTTTTCCAGTATCCATAGTACAAGCTTTGCTTAGTTTGGGACTGGAGAATGTTGTGTTAAAAAAAATGTGTCCTAAAATATTTATTATTATTGTTATTATTTATTTTAAAATTGAACTGAATGTTTGTTGTTTGTTGATCGTTTTCTTAAATAAAAAACGATTAATTCATGATGTTGTTCTTTTGTATGCTGTAGTATAGGCACATGTAGGAAGATTCATTGAAAACAAAAACTTAAAGAATGCCAAATTAAACTCTAACCGTGTTTTCATTTCTTTAATAAAAAAATTACCACTACTATATCTAAAGCATATACTGAAAACTTACTTATACAAAGGTATTTATGTAATAAATACTTGAATTTATCACAAAATGTAAAATTTGGTCTTATTTGCTGCACACATAATTACGTTCTATGCATACAAGAAGCAAGATAACATATTATTGCTTTTCATGAGGGTACAATTTGTAATTCCACTAAGTATACTAGAGTAATGCTTCTTTAGTTAACGAAATAAAACTATTATGTGTGTGGCCTATTAAAATATTGTAGATTCAACTTATGTGGCCTAACTGTATAGTTGTTTACATAAGTTCATTTTGGAAAGTTGAAAACCTAAGCCTTTTACTATATGGTGAATAGTTCTGGAATTATATCACATACGACAGTCTGCAAATGTTTTCAATGTGAATTGGAACTTTTCTTGTAACAGTCATGCTACACACTACTTATGAATAAAACAAATATCAAAAATTGTTATCATGTTAATATTATTTTAACAATATAAAATATGTATATTACACACTATTCTAATTATTGCTAAATCAAAATGTACAATATGCTTAATCGAAATTTTGCTTTTATCACATTAAAATAGTGATGTGACAATTTAGAATAATAATCATAAATAGTTCAATGGAAAAGTAACGATGGCTGCATAGAAAATGTGAGCATAATTATAAAAACATTGCTTTTTCTACAATATAATTTAAGATCACGCCTTAACATCTCACATTGAGATTAAAATACATCATTAAATTTATCCTAATCAAAATGGGATTGACAGACAGCTCTCTCGTTAAATTTAATTTTGGACTTAAATATAATTTTAAACAGAGTACAATTTGAACATTAATTATTCTACGATATGAAGTTATGTTATTAGAATTGCGATAACTGTTATAGTACTATACGTTTATAGGTAGTCACATACAAAGTTGTATTGCATATACCAACATGCAAAATGGGAGGGCGGATTTACGTAGCGATATGTCTACAGTGACATCACAAGTAAACACTTTTTAATTGAAATGGACAGAGTCCAATTATATTATTGCATCATCTTTTCAGACAGACTGCTCGGTCTTCCGATAGGTGGCGTTATATTCTGGCATAGATAAGTGGGATTCATTAAACAAAATACTGTGATCCAAATGCTTAAATTGATCACAGTTTATACATAGATGAATAATGGGGTGTTGGTAAGGAGAAAGACTAATGCCTTCTCGTTTACACTGCCCTGTAAACCTCTTGCTGTCTCAGTCCCACTGTACTTTCGCGTACAGTTGCGTATGCAATGTTTTTATTTGGTTTTGTAAAGGGATTCTTGCCCTCGACTGTACAAAACTTCACTCAGGTGCCTTTTAGTTTTCCGCGACCTATATACGTTGACGAACTGACGCTTGTACGTTTATAAAGTATAGCCGGTTAAACGATGGAAGTATAATAGTATATAATAAAGTATATGGATAATTTATATTTATTAGAGTAATATAAAAAATATAAATAACGGAAAGAAAATATTGCTATAAACCATAAACCTTCAGGCCACTGTAACGCACACGCGGACGCCATTTCTGCCTTGGGAATGATGACATTAAGAAAAACCAGGTGTGAAACAAAAAAAAAGTATTCCTACACGCTTTAATCTAGGCTAAAATATATCCGAATAGCAAAACAATTATAGTTGTTATTTAAAAGATTTCATGAAATTTCACATGATTAAATAATTTCAACTGTCCAGAGGATGCGCATCATTTAGCCAGCTATACTTTACGTGAAGATTATAAATCCTAACGCGACCATAAAGCTGAAAAGTCGAATGGCGCCGTGTTCTGTCCTATTGATACCGCCGAACTGTCAACTCGAACGCTCCCGAGGGCGTCGATCTCGTGCCCGAGAGTTCGTTGACCCCGCCGCCGCGCTAAACGCCGTCGGGAGAGAGCGCCCCCCGCGCGGTGAGCGGCGGTCATGCCTGTGGCGGCTCGTCGAGGGGCGAGGCGCGCGGGAGGGTGCACTCGCCCTCGCCCCCGCCCGACGCCCCCGCCCCCGACGAGTTCTGCCCCGCCCCAGAGCCGCCTAGTCCCGCCGCCGAGCTTCCGTTTCCCGCGCTTGAGGTCGTTGACCCCGCCGTCTGCGGAGCGTTCGAAGCCGACGGCTCGCTGCCCTCCGCGCTCCCCGACTCCCTGTTATTAGAATGTCGATTATTAATCTAAGGGAAATGTTAAGAAGCATCGATTACGATGAAGTGTACAGGTAAGGATGACAGATTTTTGTAAAAGTAAAGTAATCAGCATACATAATTATGTCTAGCTGCTGGGCAAAGGTTTCCTGTGTACGGAGGCTATTAGGACATAGTCCACCAAGCGACCCCACTGCGGATTGATGGACTTCATATTCTCAGATCTTCGAAATATTTTTCTTTTTATTAATATTTAGAAAGTATGCATGATGTTTTGCTTCACCGCTGAGAATGTGTGACAATTCTGCACTTAAAATTAACAGTCATTGGTGCATCAGTATATTATATGTATAATTAAAGCAAGCGCTTACATAATGAGCTAACTCAGAGATGTTGGTACTGACATAGAATGTACATAAGAGCACATCACTGCTTACCATTGTATTGAAGCACTACAAATTAACAATAAGTAGTGATATAATGGCAATGACAATGTGAGGAACACCCAGTTATATCAATCACAAGTACAAGTTTCATTCGCCGGCTAAATACTAGCAGTAGTAGTATTTTTGAAAAACAATAAGTGCAATGCTTCTATATTGAATAAAGATATTTGAATTTGAAATGAAATGACAATGTTAGGACAGAAAAATATTCATTAATTGGAGATAAGAGGGTTGTTTTGACAACATAATTGTTTTCAAACAAAGAAGACAACATTCTGGTCCATAAACTCAAATGGTAATTATATAATTCACTACCACCATGTTGCCTCGAAAAGTAAATAAATCAACAAAATTATCTTACTTACTTGTGGAAACCATTGGTTTGGCAAGTGTTGTATGCGCCGCAGTGTTGACATTTGAGGCCTACTATGTGAAACTTGACAGTAGACAGCTGAAAATTAAAACATTTAATTCATCAACTTGATTGAGACCTACAACAGACTCCCAAGTTCACTTAAATCCATTAAACTTAGTATAATACAGGTAATGTTTTATTAATAATACTGTTGATACTAAAGTAGGCTAAAATAACTTATACCTGTACTATTATATTGTAAATTAATCTTTTTAAAAAAGAACAACTATTGAGTTTCTTGCCAGTTTCTTGTTGCTTGCCAAACCGATGGTAACTTACGAACATATAAATTTTTATGTAAAATTTTGATATTTTGTGCATTTCATAAGAACACCCAAGCGTCTATGTGATTAGGGATATTTTGAATTTTAATATTCAACATTCACTCATTTTAATATTTCATAAATTTATAGCTACATAAGCTAAAACAATATCTGCGTACTAATTAACCTTACTTAACCATCAAATGAACTATTTTAAGTGTTTTAAAATATGGAAATTACCTTGTGACAATCCTTGCACAGAATGGTTGCTTTGTAGTCAGCATACTCTGGTGGCATCGGTGTAGCGGCCACTTCAGAATCTAGGTAGTCCCATAACTGTAATGTGATGACCACATAGTATACACCATGTCCAACTGAATGTTTCAAACAATTGTATTTTAAATTTTTTGCTTCATAGATGAAGCAGAGAAGTGGTCACCTAGCATCTGAAGTCCATGTAAACTGTGTTGATGATTTCACATTTGTTAATCTTAAGAATTATTTTATAGTAATTTTTTTAATTATATCATTTATAGTAAATAAAATTTATTTTATAATAATAAATGAAACTAGTTTACGGATTTACGCGTTTCTATTTCAGACTAAGACAGACTAAATTGTTACATGTCTTGATGTCTTAGTTAACCCTGGCTATCCATTATGATGTTGTTTTATTGGCAAGTATTAAATTATGAACTGCTGAGTTGATTAACTATCTGGAGAGTGGAAAGTATGAATGTCCTGTTCTTGCAGTCCTCTAGTTTCTTCATCACAGTCACATAGTTGTGATTATAGTTAAGTATTTGTTCCACAGACGTTGTTCGTCATTTGAGTATTTGTTCATGCGCAATTGTGTGGACTGAACATATACCTACAACATGAGAAAAAATTTCTTCTGGTAAAGGTAAAATGAAACCAAATAAACTAGTAACTTACGTTGGACATGTCAATCATGCTAGTCTGGCAAGTGGGGCAGGCATAATGGCCAGAGTGCAGGAGCTGCTCAAAACAGGGTCGGTGCAACAGATGCCCACAGTCCGGGATGTGGCACGGGATCCGAGACGTATGGATGTCCTCCAGGCACACCGGGCAATTCGAACGGGAAACATTCTCTACACACTGCGCACAGAAAAAAGTATTATAAGGAATCAAATAAATGTCAATTTAATGAATGATACTATAAAAATTTTGTAAGATTTAATTTCATCACACTCAATCCTGTCCAGTCCCATTAGTGTAAAATAATATTTAATGATGTTAATGTTGTTTTTTTCGTAACGGATATGCAACTGAGTAAGTGAATCACCTTTACAAATTCTAAGTGAGAAATGCTCCATTTATAATATACTCACTAAAACAGTAAGTGATGTTGCCAACTAATAAGACTATAGGCCTAGATAACATTACCTAAATCAAATTATTCATGAAAATAGGTTGCTATGTAAGATATTGCTGTATAAAGAAAAGTGGTCTGCAAATTCATAGTAACACCATTCTAGTCTAATTTTTAAACATATAACACTGTTAACATTGACTAAGGGAAGACGAAATGGCTGGGGTAATACATATGGTATGCTTTGCATAAGTATTTTTCCAGTGTTAGATACCAACTCACCCGATGCCCGTCTCTTTGTAGCTGCACAGGCAGGCACATGTTGCATCGCTCACAATGAAAGAAGCGATCGCGGCCGCCCACGCGACAGATGCCGCAGCCATCGCAGTGGTACTGCCGTTTGTCCTCGTCGTCAAACAGGTTGCAGATCAAGCATGTGTACTGAAATGAATATGTTTGTAGGTATGGTTTGTTGGTTGGGTTTACTGGTAGAGCCATACAGCAACTTCTGATGTTGCAGGTCGCCCTTGTATGTGCGAAGTTTTATATCAATTGGCCTAACAGTTCTCAAGTTTTAGGTGAACATACCAAATTAAGCGCGAAAAGAACTATAACTTAAAGAAAATAAATTAAATCTTCAAAAGTTCATTTTTTTTCTCTTCAGGGACTTGTACTAAAAGTGTTCTACAAGTGTCTTAAAGTTTTCTTACCTTCCCAAATCTAACTCCGCAGTTCTCACATTCAGCCTGTACCTTTTGCCTTGTATCACATTCAGTACAAATTAACTCAGTAACAGATTTTCTATTAAAATAGTGTTGTTCTTTTTCATCATGGCAATATCGACACATGTAAAATTTGTTGCAGCAGGGTGTCTGAAATTTGAAAGAATACTTAAAATTTACAAGTGTAACATTAAAAATAATCTGCATATTAAAGTAGACTGTACATTCATAATAATGTTAATAAAGATGTATTGGCTAGGTGTTTCACGATCAGCCTGACTGACATCAATCCTTCTTGAGTACAAATACTTGTCCTAGCTGGAAATTGAATCTACAACCCCAGCTGCTAAGCCAATTGCTTAGCAAGTGCAACACCAATTAATCAAAAGCATTTCTCTATATTATATCTAGAAACTTATATCAAAACAGTATCAACTTTAAAATTGTGAAAATTGTTTAGTTTAATTCATTGATCAACAGTTTTTGTCACAATGACTTAATTTTATCAAAAACAACAATTTAACCATCCTTATCAGGAAAAAATACAGAGAATGATGCTAGTTAAATAAGTTAATTCTCTGATAGATAAAAGGACTTTACAAATATCTATTTTTCAAGTTATTGATTCTGTCATGTAGAAGAACTAATGAGGTATACCAAAATTAAAGACTGCCTTTGCTGCAAATAAGTTCATTGACATGCTCTTTGTTTTCTAATTTCGCAGTACCTTTCGCATCCAGAAAATTTTGCGCTGTATGTTTAATTTTAGAATAGAGTGCCTCGAACTCGACATAAGCTTTAAGTTATGTGCAATTCCGGCCGAATTTACAAATTAAATACTTTATGGTGTATTTTAGCATACCACAAATTTCGCCCGACGTTTGTAATGGGTGCAACCAATTCGTTTTTCATTTGTTTGCTCTGTGACCACGGCTCCATCACCATTAATTGTTTCACCTTTCTCCTTTGACATCTCCCCCAGTTGCTATGAGACCGTTTCTCGAAAGCACTTTTAGATATGTGTACAGTAGTTAATAAATAAAACTTAACAATTTCAATAACTAAAGTATTTGCTATATTTCAATAGAAATAATGAACAACAATTATCACCAGACGTCACAGTGAGTGACGATTTGATTTGACAATTCAGCGTTACGTTTCGGATTCGTGCTTACCACAAAGTATAGGTTCATGATTTCAAAAATTATTGCACAATAGATAATCTTATATTACTAGAATTTTGAATAACTTTTGTATACAATCATTACCTAAAAATATAGTTCCTGGAATTTTATCTAGATTACCAGTTTTATCAGGTACGGCATATTAGAAACACCTAATTATACTTTTATTTAGCACTAGATATTTTTCTTATGGAAATTCTGCTCCTCTGAACGTCAAAAATATTAAAAATTCGCAAAATTGTCAAGTGAAATGAAAATAATTTAACTAGATATTAAAATGTGATTTTAGTCTTAATGGTTAAAAATCCTGTAATCAAATCGAGTACTAAAACAATGCATATATAACCAGGAAGATGAATTGGCAAATAGCTTTGTTTTCAGCTTTATCTTTGCTTAAACTTTCTGATTGCCTACTGCCTCCAGAGTTTCAATGGAAAGTTATAGATTATGCATGGCAAGGTCAACATAAACAAGCTGCTTTAGCCTCAGGTGCTTACATACCTGAAAACAATATGCCTACTGGATTAGCTCGATGGAGGGACAAATTATTTATTACTGTGCCGCGGTGGAAAAGAGGTGCGAATATGTATAATTTTTTTTTAAATGAGAAAGTTTCCTCCTTAATTTTCTCGAAATTCTCCATATAGTTTCACTGTTATATTTAAATAAACAACTTCATATACAAAATTGAAATTCAAACCACTTCGTGTAGCTATTTAAGTTGTATTCTATTCATCATTTGTCCTCGCAGCAACTTCTGCTGTTGCACGAATGGGGAGGTTCGTCCGAGGAAGTACCGCGGCTTCACCAAAGACCATCGATGTAACCGGAGCACACTTTTATTTAAAGTTGTCATCGCATCTAAAAAACCCTCAGGTTCTGTAGATTTTCATGGGCGGCTGTATTCACTTAACATCAGGTGAACCACCTGCTCACATAAAAAACTTGGGTTATACTAAAAAAATAGTTTTTAAATAATGTTTTCTTTATAATTTAAAAGTCTTTATAAAGGCGAATTTGTAGTATATTTTTACTTCTGCATGCCCGAGAATGTAACAAAATATCTATAATGGATCGTCATTCAAATATTCAGGTGTCCCCTCGTCCCTAAACTACGTTTACCTGAACGGCAGCCAGCAGCAAGAATTGAATCCTTATCCAAGCTGGGGTGACGCGTTCGTAAGCGACGATGCATGCTGCGTCAGTACCAACAGTAGTGTGGTCTCCGCTTACAGAATCCACGTGGACAAATGTGACAGACTGTGGGTAGTCGATAATGGTGTCACCGACATGTTCAGTAGGTACCAAGTCTCGTAAGAACTGCCATATCCTTCCATGATGATGAAGCGACTGTGATGATTACAATGTTTTCTATTTATTTATTGCTTCCTTTCAATGCAGGGTACAAAAACATATAATATAATAATTCTATCCGTAGAGAAATACTAATCTTAGGTTTATTTAGAATAAGAAAATGTCCGCAAAATTATTTCGGACGTAACAATTTAAGAACATGGGGCCGAAAGTCTAGGATTTATAATAAAGCGCACTGTTTCAAGCCCACTGATTCATGAATAAAATACTCTTTCCCGAAAGTACCACTGGGGAAGAAGGGTTTCAAGTAGAAATAGCTCTACTTATGTTTCTTAATAGAGGTAACAGCCTATCTTGAGCTCTTAACATTTCTTACCCACTGGTGATTTGAATAGCTGGTGGCTCTAGGTACGGGAATTACTTGTCATTACTCATTAGGTTGGCATCATCCCACACATTCTCCAGTAAAAAAAAAAAAACGTTATAAACATGTTTCATACTTTCAGATCAGACTGGTACACAGAAAGTTAACTTATTCGATTTAAAGGTAGTAGTCGAAGTAAAGTAAAGTAACAGCCACCGCTGGGCAGCTGTCTCCTCTATATAGAGGGTTGGGCATAGTCCGCTACTCGACCCGACTGCGGATTAGCGAACTTTAAATATTTTCGAAATAATTTTTTGGTTATTATAATTTCGAAAATATGCAGGTTTCCTCTGGAATAAAATCTCGCGCCGCATGTGCCCTCTGACTGATCTGACAAAATACTGACAAATACGCATTAATGTTTTGCCCACCCTGGTACTTGGTATAACAGATTAAATACAGCAATACAAACCTTTTCCTAACAGATAACGTTAAGCAGATCACGCAGCCCGCCATATTGGTCTTTGATTTGTATAAAGACACGCTCAAATACAAGCACGTGTTCAGCGACGACCTGCTGAGAGACTCGACAGTCTTCACTAGCATCGTTAGTGCCGTTCAAACTGCCGTTTAATCCACTTTAGCAACTAGATTTGGAACGCGGCTTTATGAGATTCTTTAAAAAAATAGTCAATATTAACGATGTGAAAAATCTAGGGTATTTTAGGCCAGTATGTAAACAAACGGCTAACAATTGATAAAAACAGCCTTAGGAAGTAAAGATACATTTTGCATTTACAATTTTAGTAGTGGTCTAGTAGTAGCTGGAGGCATGGAGGCACGAGAATCAAAGTATTCTGTTTTCCGAATTTATTTTATATTTTATGGGCAAAAAATACTGTCCGACTTTAGTGATGAATCATCAGGCTTGGCTCAGGATAAGTTAGAAGAGGAAACATGGATGCTCCTTCCTTGTCCACTTGTACCACTAAGGGTAGTAAAAAAGTTTGAGCTCGTATCGTACAGTCCCGGGGTACAGAACCTTATGGTTCGCCTGACTTGTTCTCATTCGAAAGTCTTGTGACCGTAGGAATATTTTATAACTGTATTAATGGATTTAAAAACAAACTGATCAGTTCCTTTTGATTACAAATATTCCGAAATATGACGTCGCCTGTCCTCCAGCTCTTGAGCCTAATCAGCAGGGCTGTAGCTAGAGTTGAATTTGAGGTAGGGCAGCATTGATTACAGGTCGGGCGGAAGTAAACAATTTATCATAATTGATCTGCCCTTGAAGCATGAGCTCCTAAATCAATCATCATGTATATCACTGACCTCTAGGTCAGTTCAATAGCTATTCGTAGACAAATAATTTCTATGACAGAACATGAGCATGGATCTAAGCACTATTAAATCCTTAATCATGAAGAATGAGCGAACAAGATGGTAGAACTTCTAGCTTTGGATTTAGAGATCCACGTCTGAGTGAGAGTGGGATAATAAGCAATTTTTGGATAAGATAATAGGACCAAAAATACCATTTATATCAAATTGTTTCTGCAGACTTATAACAATAATTAACATAATAATAAAAATATTTAAAACAGCTGAATTCTTCGATTCGTCATGTTATTAAAAATGTGAAGAACTTCGTTCAGATCAACTGATTTTGTACTTTTTTTTCCAAAGGCCAGTAATACCATACCAGCCATTCTCTCGTGACCCATTGACAGCCTTTGAGGCCTATTGATTGCAGTTAAAGTTAAAAACGTAGATTCGCACACTGCAGTGCTACATCCTACGGTCGCGACAGATGCCAAAAATTCATAGTATCTTTAAATGCCTCTCGATGCCTGTACAACACTTGCAATGTATTTTCCATTTTGTCCTCGTTACGACTCAAGTAAACTTTAACCACACTAGCCTCTTCTCTTGATGGAATTTTCAGACCTTAAAATTAGTTTAAATTGAACATGAAAAATCATTTGAATTATTAAATTTTTTAAACTTACTCAAACTTTTCAGTGGAAGCATTTTATCAACATCCAAATCATCGAGACTTGCAATCGAATTGATTAGATCATCATCATTCAAATGCCTATTTTATTATTATTTTTATTATACGAGTACACAGAACAAAGAGTTATTAGAATATGAAATGAATGTCACGCACTGGTAATGAGTTGTTCGCTCCCAAGCTATTTCTAAAAGAAAGAAAAAAAAACAGTTGTATAATATTTAAATTTTTTAAATAATATTTAAAAGAAAAAAAATTACAAAAAAGAGGATACCTTACAAAAATTAACAATAGACAAACAAATTAATGGAATGCACAATTTGGCAGCCATAACACTTCATAGCGATCTCTTCCAGGCAACTAATGGCGTAAAGGAACTTTACTACGTAGGTTGTGCAATAGTATGGTATATAATGCAGTAGTAGAGTTTAAAGCCTGTACGGTAAAAGATTTTTCAAAAAATTACATTTTGTGATTTGGCACCTTTAAAATGAGCTTCCTAGAAGAAGGTAGGATCTTCTCCTAGAAGCCCTACAAATTCAAAATTCTCCTTTAAATAAAGTGGAGTAGAAACATGAAATAGAACACAGTAGGTACAACATAGAAAGATTATACAAATTCCGGCGAAGTAGGATGGGAAATCACTTGAGACGTGTACGAAATTGAGAAACGTGGTCATATTTACGCATTTTTATTTTGGTATTTTTAAGGTAGGGCATTGCCCTACAATGCCCCCCCCCCCCCCCTAGCTACGGCCGTGCTAATCAGTGAGCCTCTTCTGGTCTTCCAATCCAGGTGGTGGATATAGTGGACGAGGATTGTCGGAATGCCTACGCGTATATATCGGACATGGGTTCTGGAGCACTTGTGGTGTACGACCTACGCAGTGACACGGCTTGGCGTCGCGAGAGCCCCCTTTTCAAGTACGAGGCGAACGCCAGCGTCTACCGCGTGGGCGGGATCGATTTCTTCTGGAATGACGGGGTGTCCTCTGTTGCGCTCTCTCAAAAGAACAGCTGCGGGTGAGTTTGGGAAGACTTGGCATATTTTACGGGTAGTTCTTAGTACGGGTGAAGGCTTCATGTGCGTTTAAGTTAATAGCCCAAGCAGTGTGGTTATTTTCGTATAGATAACTTTCTCTTCTATTTCTATTTCTTGGACTTGCAGATTTTGCCAAAATATTTTGCACCGTCACCGATGGTGTGGTGAATGAGAATTTGAATTGACATTGATTTCATTGGTATTGCCACAGAAATTTCTGACCTTAAAAGGAAAACAACGGATTTATATAAGGAATCGAGCTACTGAGGCTCTAGTCCTCTTGCCTTGTTCGTAAATAACGTCTGACCAGTATGATATAACTGTATATGTAATTCACAGGAATAAGCTACATTCCCAAACTCTTAGGTTGAAAATACGGAAGAACGCCATTTTTGACTTAAAGATCTTTAAACTGAAATAAAATAAAATTATTAATATTTACAAACGAAGCTTTCGGGATCTCTTCTGCCATCCGACATCCAGCACGAAGCTGCTGAAAATCTCCACGAGATTGCTGAGAAACTCTGATATAGGGCCAGAGGAATTCCATAACGGGGTACAGGTATGATCTCCCCATCCTAAATTAAAGCACTAGTACCTGGAAGACAGAGCTTTGCTCGTTTTTTTTGGTAAATCATGTATTTTGCAAATAAAAAAAATAAAAACTAACGAAAATGATCTGGTAGAGAAAAAAAGTAAAAAAAAAATAAGTGTGTAAATGATTGTAATACGAACCGCGGCCGTCTGTTTTGGGGCCGCCCCATTACCGACCGAGCTATTATAACATTTTTTTGCGGCGAAATTTACCGTCATATTCGAATGATATTTTTCATTCCCTGAAATCAGGGATAAAAGGACATTTTCAAAAAAAGAAACCACACTACATACTAAATTTCATGAAAATCGCTGGAGCCGTTTCCGAGGTTCCGATTATATATATACAAGAATTGCTCGTTTAAAGGATAAGATTTAAGAATTCATTAACGGGGTACAGGTATGATCTTCGCACCCTAAATTAATACACTATTTAAATAGCGCTCACATTTGTATTATAAGACTTATCGTTATCTCAAATTTATATGGCGTACAATTCGATATATTTACTGCACTTATGTGAATTGAGACGTTAATCTCGATGGCTGCCACGTCACGCTTCTATCTTTTTACTGTAAAAAAGTAAAACAACAGTAACAGCCTTCATTTGTCCCACTACTGGGCAAAGGAGAAGGAACTGGAAGCTGTAGAGGGGGCATTAGTGCATAGTCCACCACGCGACCCCAATGCGGCTTGGCGGACTTCTCATATCTTCGAAATATGTATTTCCATCTTGTTATTGTTTCGAAAATATGCAGGTTTCCTCACGATGTCTTCCTTCACCGCTGAGCACGTGTTAAGCGATTTTTATTGTGATAAAATAATATGTACGGGAGTAGACGAATAGAATTTGTCCACGATTATAATAATAATAATAATAAAACATCTTTATTCACATAGACGCTTGCGCGTTCTTATGAAACGTCAAAATTTTACAAGAAATGAACACGTTCGTAAGTTACCACCGGTTCGGAAAGCAGTTTCTGTTGAGAAGAAACCGGCAAGAAACTCAACAGTTGCTCTTTTTTAAAAAAAATCAGGTTACAATATAATAGTACATGTACAATAGTCTTGTTTTAGCCTACGTGAGTATCAACAGTATTAACCCCACACATTGGCGTCGTCAAGATATTCAGCAATAGAATTCACATTCAGATTTCATATTAGTGAAAGTTCTCGGGGACATAAGTGGACATTATTCGCTGGTGCATCGAATTCTAAACCGCGCCAAGACACATGTATGGCCGCAAGTATCATTGTTTCCTCTTAGAAAGTGGTCGATTAAACAAACGGTTACGTTTCAGATCGTCGGCGACAGGGGTCCGATGTCCCAAGCAACGGCCTGCGACTATGATCCCGGCACCAACGTTTTGTTCTACACGCAGGTGACCACTGTCTGTTATTATCTAATAACGAGTTGTTAAGTCTATTTGGTTTTTTTAGGTGAGAAAGTGGCAAAAGAGGGATCACTTAATGTTAAATGATAACCATCGCCCATGGACATTTGAAATCCCAATAGGGTTGCAGGTGCGTGGCCACCTTTTAATCAAGTGGGCCCCGGCTACCTCAATCGCCGAAACGCAGAAGTATAAGACTACTTCACGCGGGTCTTCTGGTCGTGAGGTCGTGAACTTACCCGGTCGGGCCAGCCCATTTGTGCTACAGCGGTTAAAGTCAGTGAGCGACAATTGAGAGCGATTTGAAATTGTGAGCTATCAAATTGAGAAAGGCGACTGCACTGCTAACATGCCCCAAAACACCAGGTGGTGTTTTGGGGTTAGCAGTGCAGCAGTGAACTCTAGTAACTTTTATTTACACTGTTAATGATAATTTTACTTTATCTCTTAGCTTTCCGCGTTTATAGAGTTCAAGTGTAATCTTCTCTTTGAAATCTTTGTGTACGCCACGGCATCCAGATTCTGATTTAACAAGCAAATAAGCCTCGTTCGTTTAATTTCGTTAATCATTACATTTAGGCATGCCTTTTGTTCTTGCCTATTTAATTCGGAGCCTTGGATAAATCAGACACTATTTGAACGTATTGACGCGTGGGATTTATTTCAGCATTATTTTCTGTTAATTATGTGTTCAGTGTAATTACTCAAAACTTTTTTGTTTATTCACTTATTGCGTACAACGCTGTATTAAAAATAATGGATGAAAATTTTCTTGAATAAAGATTTATTAGGAGCAATGACTTGCACCGGAATCGACTGAACTGTTGACCTTTTTTAACTTACATTCATATTAATTGTGGGTATTCAATTTTATCTTTTTGATTAATATGGGCAAGCTCTTCCCGGGAAGAACCACGGCCTCATAGAAGACCAGGGTGAAGTGGAAGTATTATTACTTTCGCATTTCTTCCGGTTAGGTCCACATTTTTTTAAGGATTATCAAACACATATCGCTGCAAACCCACAATTGTTTGTTGATGTCCATAGGCGGCAGTTATGGCTCATCATTTAGCATATATTAGCAGGCGAAACGCCTGCTGGTTTGACAACATTCACTTAAAAAGGAACATAGTTTGACGTGCACCAGGTCAAAAGTTCTGATTACTGTTTGTTCGTACAGTTGAGCAAGAACGGCGTCGGCTGTTGGAACCTAGACCGGGAGTTCTCTGAGCAAAACACCCCGCTGCTTCTGAGCGACTGTAGTCTGCTGGAGTTCCCCAACGACATCAAGGTCAAAGACTACTTGGACACCTTTATATACATCAACCGCATTGATACATATGTGATAGAGCGAGAGGTAGAGAGTAGTGTCGTCCTTTTTCCCCCTTTATCGATCCCCTGGTGCCTACTCAAACTACGTGTGTGCTTATGTATGCACTTAAGAAGTTTTCAACTGACTTTTTCAACCGACTACAAAAACGAAGGAGGTTCTCAATTTGACTGTATTTTTTTATGTTTAATGATTCTCTATGAGCCTATTGACTTCATGGAGCGTCCGTCAAAGGGCCCTAAGCGTGGATTAATAATAGCGTGAAGGCCCGAGCCGAGGCTCCTCGGGAGCCCTTGAGCCTAGTCACGATAACGCGTGACCGAGGTTCATGCTAGTTAACGCGCCCCGAGCGCCCGGCCACCTCGAGCGCGGCGGACCTGCAAAGGCCCCCGACGCCAACAGTGGCGTATCCTGCCAAGGAAAAGCAAGTGCCCGACGCAGGTGGACTCGGAGGGCGACGTGTGGCTGCTCAGCGACCGCCAGTCGCGCTTCCTGTACGGCCGCATCGAGCCGTCGCGCGTCAACTTCCGCGTGCTGCGCGCGCCCGCCGCCCGCCTCGTGCGCGCCACGCGCTGCCAGCTCAACGCGCTCGAGAGGGCCGCCCGCATGTTCAAGTCGATCCCGTGAGCCGCCATGTTGACTCGTTTTTCTTTTAATCTCGCCGCTGCCAACTCGAAGCGCTCCAAAGAACGGCCCTCCTCTTCAAGTCGATCCCGTGGGCCACCCGTGCCGCTGCCAACTCAACGCGCTCAAAAGAGCGGCCCGCCTTCTCAAGTCGATCCCATGAGGCGCCATGTTGACTCATTTTTCTTTTAATCTCGCCGCTGCCAACTCAAAGCGCTCCAAAGAACGGCCCTCCTCTTCAAGTCGATCCCGTGGGCCACCGTGTTGGATTTTTTTTAAATCTTGCCGCTGCCAACTCAACGCGCTCAAAAGAGCGGCCCGCCTTCTCAAGTCGATCCCATGAGGCGCCATGTTGCCAACTCAAAGCGCTCCAAAGACTCAAATTCGTGTTGGATTTTTTTTAATCTCGCTAATCTCGCTTCTCAAGTCGATCCCTCATGTTGACTAATGCCATGTTGAATAATTAATTTTTAATCTCGCTAATCTCGCCGCTCTACTCATTCAGCCTGAATCGAATGTGATGTAAAAATAAATCGCCCCGTTGCGATTGTAATTATAACTTGTGTATATTCAATTTAAATAAACCTGTGAAGCGATCAATTGGTATTCGTGAAAGAAAAAGAATTTATATTTCACTATAACATGTCGAAAAAGGGTAATTTGTATTTGGAAATAAAAAGATGCGTAAATAATTTAAATTTTTATTTAAATATACAACATTGTAATTATAACTATGTAAATTATATAAGTCGTATGTGATGGGATACAATTCATAATTTACCGCACAGTTCGTTACAATCTCCCGTTAGTATGTGCCGCGTTCCCGTCGTCCCGGTCGCATAGCATATTCGTAACTTGTTATAACGTTAACAATCATGTCTAGTAACGGCAACGCGTTGCAACGACAACGCGTTATAACTGGATGGTTATATCGTAACCGGATAGTTATAACGCAAGGCCGAATGAGCGTTCTTTCCATTCTTTAATTTCACTTTAAATGCAATAAGGCCGATTGTTACAATTAAATAAAAAAAAACAAGAGATTTTTTGTGATTATTTAAACGATGTGGATATGTAGCGATTATCTTAAAATACGAAAACAAAAAAGCGATATTAAATTACGAGTCGAGTACAGTTCCGTTTCCAGAATCAATGTAATGTCATCTCCGTGAATCTATTATTTCCAATTAATTATATTATTAAACTTATCAAAGATTTCATTTTCTATTAAATTTTGTACATGACAGCTCTAATATATTACAGGGATCACTACGAATTCTATTATCATAAACTTTTCAACATGATACATACAAATGATTACGTAGATAAATAGTCCACGTCGAACATTTTTTGCAGTGTAATAATATTCCATATAATACAGTCAACTGCATATAAATTTTTATAAAACAGTAGTCAGGTAAAGTCAGCGCCGCGTCACAAGCCAGATAATCATAATAAACATTAAAGCAAATACCATTTGACTTTTGGATTTTTAAAAACAATATGATTTGAATCATTTTATAGTATTTAATTGCTTGAATCATGAACATGTTAACCTTGAATTGACAATATTCTGTAATGTTATACTAGCACTTACAAAATGTATAAGATCAATTAATTCAGCGGAATTAAGAGGTGACTAGGATGAACAATTTTCTAGTAAAGTCATTGAATTATTTATAGTCATGAGGCGACCAAAAGAAATAACATTCATAGTTTTTATTTAAATTAACAAATACGGGATTTCATTCTACGTGGTGATTTATATATATAAAGATATGGTTTATAAAATGTATTTAATTTTTTTTTAATTCTTTATGTTTTATCTTATATACATCACTGACTTACCTCCATGCTGGTGCTGGAATTTTAATTTACTTCAATCTGTATTTTACCCTAATCTAATAATGTTTTAAAAATCATGTATGACGTACGAGCTTTTATGGTGGATAATCAGAGTTATCTAAATCCAAAGCAATTTCTTTTTAAATTTAATTGACTTTTAAGAACATTGAAAAAGGACTTTTATTTCTAAAGGAGTTCTCAAAGAAAAATCGTACAATTATTCAAGAGCATTGTCGTTTTCAAATGTAATAACTTATGTGTTATAACGCAAAATAATGTAACACAGTTCAGTGTTACATTGTTAAATAGTGATATTTATGTAACTGTTACATAAGTTTTTATTAAATAACAGCTATTCGCCTGTTATGTTTATAGGCCTGTCTAACCCTGCTTAAGCTTTGACAAGTTAGTGTCAATATGCAGGATATAGTTTTATTTAAAATATTTATTTTTATAGATGGTAGGCTATTATTGAGTTTCTTCTATCGCTAATTTACGACGTCGACTGTACCATCCAACGTGGATATATTAAATTTTCAAATAGAAAAAAATAACAATAAAAAGACCTATCCGTTCAAACAAAACGATCCATTACTCCAATCGATAATTGGAATGGTCTAATTAGCAATATCGGTTTTCGTGAAATGGCGAGGTATTTTTTTTTCGGTTCCGCGAAAATGAAGATGACAATCGCTCATTATTTAAAAGCATTATGGAGGGCGTGCCGATAAAAAGCACGAGAAGCGATATATTACAAGGTAGGTTTCTTTACTCCGTATCCAGTCCGCTACGCAATAACCTATTCACGCGATTCTGAATCGTATTGCAATGGCTGTAAGAGCGATATTTGCCAAGTACATTAGACGTGCTCGACAGCTATTATATAGCGTCGTTGCTAGGTCGTCTGAGTATGCTCAGTTATGTGACATGAAGATCGAAAAGGAACAAATTGATACTATGACAATTTCTTCTATTAACGCTATTACACATTACTGAATGGAGCTATTTTTAAAGGATTTATCGCGTTTATTTATAATTTTAGATATTATCCAATATGCTACAGAGTTTAAAATCGTCCTTCCACTGGGCTTTATCTCAAACTGAATATATATAAAATGAAATGAATAAATCGTTCAAGTCGTTTGCTCAACAGATTAGGAGATTGGTACTTAAAGGGATCTATGCCTTCTAGTCTCCACTAATAACCTGTTATTGCTGTGCAAAGGCCTTTCCTAAAGGAACTGATGACTCCGCAGCTTCGGCCCTGGGGTCGTGGGTTCGATTACCACACGGGACAACTATTTGTGTGACCCACAGATAATTGTCGCATCTGGGTGTTTGTCCACATGAAATTTATGTTTTTCAACGTCCTTACAACACAACGTATGGTGTGGTACAGTAAGGGCAATGTTCTATAAGTAAAAAAATTGTTCTAGTACACCGCTTAGTATACCGCTCGGTAAACGAGAAATTTGCCATACATTTGCTTAACATTGCGAGATGTTCGTTGGTTGGCAGTTCTATTAATAATTAAACATTATAACAAGACAGCAACTCAATTTGGAGTTCGTGCAGAAGTCGTAGAAAAATAATGAAATTATTTTCGATAAATTTTTAAAACGAAAATAAAGAAACTGAATTGGTAAGAAAACAGTTTACCCACATTGTGGTAAAATCGCTAACTGAGAAAATACAAGGTATTTCCTATAGTGAAATATCGTCTAAAATCGTATCTACAGGGTTTCATTCGGCTGAGCATACTCGCAGCACATAATCACACGCATTTCATACAATTAGACCATACAATCTCCCATTCGTAAGACTACGCCGAAGCCCTTAGCGGCCTAACTAAGCGTCGTTGGTGCGTCACAAAATCCTCGTAGGGCTACCAGGATTTCGATGAAAAAGAGTTTATCCGATAAACTGTTGCGTGGGAAGTTCTACCTTATTGCAATGTCGTTAGAGTCCGTTTTTGTTTGGGAGCTAGCTGGCCCGCCATTATCTGGCGCCCTCCGCGCAGTTGGCCGGCTTCCGCTGCGGGGTGCCCCCCGCCGAGGGCTCCAGACGCTTCCTCAGCGGCGCGTTGTACTCCCAGCCCTCGTCACCCTTGGGGCTGAACAGCTGGAACGATCAATGGGAAGTGAATCAGTGAGCAGCACAGCACAAAAAGGAAAAGTTTCCTCTTGAAGTTTGAATTAAGGGGTCGCGTGTTTCCTTACTGGATGAATTAAAAAAAACATTTCCTATAGGTTTCAAGTTTGTATAGAAGTCACAATACACATCCGGAACATGTAACCGCCGAGATAATGGGTCACAGTAGCCTCTCGCGGTAACTCTACACAAGCTGCGATACGATTCCTTGTGTGATGCTTTCGAGGAAATGAAAGTTGGCGCGAGTAGTCTGTCACGTCATTACGCGTGACGCGCTTCATGCATCACGCTTACCACGCCTATCGACGCTTCATTGGCTAACGGAAAACCTCGGTCGACTCAAACGACTTGCATGTCGCGACTATACGACACATCAAGGAAGACGTCCGCGCACCGTACGTCACGCCTTGCACGCGTGATGGGCGTCATGTGTCACGCTCGCCGCACCTATCACCTTGGCCGAGTCAAAAGTAACACGCGTTTACCGCATCCTCACGACCATTTCAACATAAGCGAAAACGTACGCGCCCCGTCCGTCACTCGTTTAAGACATCGTGCGTCACGCCGTGCATTCGTGACGCGCGTTACGCCTCGCGAACATAGAACGTACGCGCACCGTCCGTCACCAAGACATAGTGTGTCACGCCGTGCACGCGTCACGCGTCACGCGTCACGCGTCACGCGCCGCTCACCTGCGTGATCCACTTGTCGCCGGTGTCGGCGCGCTGCTTGGCGCGGTCGCGCTGCGCCTGCTCGAGGCGCCGCTTGGCGGCCGTCGCGGCGTCCGTGTCGGCGGCGCGCAGGGCGGCCGTCACGTGGCGCCACACGCGCCGCGACTCGTGCGCCATCTGGCGCGAGATGGGCGAGACTCGCTTGCGGCGCGCTCGCATCTGCGCCACCTCGAACACCACCTCGGTGCGCTGCGAACGCATTGCGCATCTGGCTAGATCCCGTCTTGACTATCACTTGACACTGAGCTATCGCGGCTATTAAATTGAGCCGTAATAGCTCGGTGTCCGGGCGCTCAGTATCGCGTTTGATCCGATTTACTCGAGCAACCCGAGTGCGATCGCCGGTGCCGGTACCAATGAAATTGTTAATTTTAAGTGCTTATCACGTGCCCAACATTGATTTTCGAAATAATAACAAAAAGAATATATTTCGAAGTTATGTGAAGTTCGCCAATCCGCAGTGGGGTCGCGTGGTGGAATATACCCTGATACCTCCTGTACAGAGGAGACTTTGGTCAAGCAGTGGGACATTTATACGCAGTTACTTTGCAAGACGGGACATGGTGGGGAGTAGTAATGAGTTTGTCTATGGTAGTTTGGCTATGGTTAAGATGAAGTAGGTTCCGCTGTTGTACACACCGGTTGAACGGGGGAGCCCCAGGCACATTCAATTATATAAAAGTTTTAGTGCGGTAAGCATACGGAGCAGGTAACAATCGCAACAAGCACTCAACTAGTAATTCACTATTTCATCCTCACCCCCGACTCGGTCCAGCGGCCGTCCATCCTGGAGTTCCACTCGCCCTGGGCGGTGTAGTAGGGCCTCTTGTCCGGCGGCGCGAACACCTCGCACGTGACGCGGTGCTTCTTGCCGCCGTAGAACGGCTTCGTGAGGAACTCTATGTTCGCCCTGTGCCCCGTCTGTGGGCACTCTATCGCCACCGAGCCGCCCAGCTCGATCCAGGGCACGGTCAGTATCGACCTGGCGGCGGAAGTTGGGTTGTTCGTTAGCGCTTTGGTGGTCTCCTCACGAAGTTGGACTTCTCGGACTCGCCAAAAGCAGTATGACTTCAAGAGGATTGAAGTAAGAAGCTCTTCGATCCTCTTGAAGTTAAACTTTCACTTTTGGCGCTACTCCTAAAAGCGACAACGACTTTACAGGGATACCACGTAAACCAATAGCAATTTTTTGACATTTACCAACGATTCCTAGTTAGTTTGGTATTTAAACAGTTATTAATTGCATTCAATCGGACAGGATACTCTCTTTTTGTTTTTTTTTTTTGTGGGCTAAGATGATAATACCAATCCGCCCATGGATAAGTGTATTATAGGCCGTAGTACTGTCACGTATGATATGTGAAATGTTTATGTGAAATGTTGGGAAGCGAGAAGGCGGTTCTCCTAGTGTTCATTGGTTACCGTCAACCATCGACGTCATCTAAGACGTTGGAGGTGACGTCGATGGTCTAGTATAGTATGTACTAGGGGGCTCTAAAACGTGGAACTCTATCTCACTATCGTCTGTCTCTCTCACGAGACGAAACGCGAAAGTGTAACAATTCAAGTGCACTCCGGTCTTATTTGAGGCCGTGGTACTACCCCTGTCCGTTCGTATAACAGCAAGTTACTGAGTTACTGCGTGACCCAAGCATATAAGTGGATGTGGTGAAAGTTTTGCGTAAAGACGTACAGTAATACAAAGCGGGTAGGGAAGGGCCACGCTACAGTATTTGCCGTTGCACGAATGGGCAAGTGGGCAGACGGAGTACCACGACCTCACAGAAGACCGGTGTGTTGTGAAAGTGTTATACTTCTGGTTTTAATCTGGCGTTACGTCTGGCGAGTGAGGTAACCGTGGCACCTAATTAAACGGTGGCAACGTATCGACAACCATACGGATGTTTCAAATGCTAACGGGCGGTTGGACTTAACAACGGGTGAACCGTTAGCATGATTGCCACCTTCTCACAGTAAAAAATGGAAGAACAAAACCCAGAAGTCGCACATTCTTTCGACAGAATTTTACGTAACCACGTGTTGCATCACTAGGAGAGTCGAGTGACATTTAATGTGGTTAAACAACTGTAAACTTGCGTTGCTGTTCTTGTTGAGTTCGACGGGGAACTTTTCGAAAGATGCCAACGCACATCCTTCTTGTGTTGCGAATTGCTATGGGCGTTCGTTATCATTTATCTAATTAGTCATCGTTAGGTACAATAAGATTACTATAAAATCACCAGAAGGCAGGAGAGTGAACAAGCACGGTAGTATTATTGCCCTTCCTTTCGGTTAACCTTATCCTGTGTTGTAAGGACGTTTTACAAACATAAATTTCACGCGGACAAACACCCAGATGCGAAACAACTATCCGTGGGTCAAAATCAAAATCGAACCCACGAACCCCGACGCCGAAGCCAATACCTTGGTAACTGCTCCACGAAGTCACAAATAGTCAGCTCCATATCCAAAAGAATAGAAGAAGTCTTCTTCTTCCACTCACCGTCCGTAGCCGTTGGGGAAGGTGACCGTGTACTCCTCGCCGTGGTCGAGCAGGGTGACCACGCCGCGGCCGATGTTGTGGACGCCGATGGACAGTCCGAGGAACTTGCTCTTCGTCCACACCCACGCGTCGAACTGGATCCGTTTGTTGACGTGCTCCGCGTAGAAAGCGCTGATGGGCGGGTGGTGGGACACCTGCTCGGCCACAAAGGACAGCTGCTCCGGCGAGCACCACGGCACGGGGCCGTCTCCTACCTCTTGCTGGAAAGACCATTAAACTTACGGTCGTTTTGCTACATAGGGCTGGCTAAGTCGTGGACAGGAAAGATATGATTTGTCATCGACATGATGAGGATATAGAAGAGTACTCTTTCATCCTCATCCTACTGTTTTTTTTTTTTTTTGGAAAACGTCCCTCTTATTGTAGAATAACATTAGCCTGTGTTGCAAGTTAGTTTTACAAACATAAATTTCATGTGGACAAACACCGACCCAGAAACGATTATCTGCGGAATCGAACCCACGACTCCTGGCACCGAAGCCAATACATTGACAACTGGGTTACGGAGTCATCCAAAAAAACCGAAATTCCGAAAATGATGTATCCAAAATGACGATATAACTGTACTATACTGAATTGTATGTAAGGAGAAATCCGAAGACGTTAAACTATAATACTAACAAAAAAATGTCGTCACGACCCTATAAATGGGAAAAGCCTAAACGTATAGACGACCCGACTGGCGTAGTGGGTAGTGAATCGGAGTCTTGCGGCAAAGGGTTCAGTCCTCACTACTGGAAAAATATTGTGTGAGGAGCAAAGTGTTTTTCCAGTGTTTGATGGTAGTATTTTGAGGTAGATAAAGTTGTGTTGTGTAAAAATGTGTGCTAAAATATTTTTATTCCAGCTGCAAGCTACCTTCTCCGTTGACGTGCTGTGCCCATCAGCGGCACCGTCCATGTCCCAATGGCAGCGGAAGACCTCGCCCAATATTGGGTTGTAGGGTTTCTTGGCGACCTGCGACTTCCGCCCGGCGTGGTACGAGCTGAGGTACCACCGCACCACTTGCACCATTCGCTCCTTGGGCGTGGGCATGTCGACTATTCTGGAACGGTTCGGTGCAAATCAGACAAATACATAACTATTAAAATTTGTAGAAAAAATTAACTAAAAGTCTAACGCTGCTGCGGGAATCGAATCCACTTCTTTGGGATTCGCGCCCAGACGCTTTGACCACTAAGTTTAATGGCGCTATTGTTATCTCTTTTACAGGAGACAAACAATTTGTTATATCATTTCATTTCGAATGAGAGATGTAAAGTATATAACATACTTGACACCTATTGGATATTTTGTATCGATATTTCGAATCGGCTCAAAATATCGACATATCGATATTTTTTCAACAAGCCTACGACTTAAATGAACACTGCATTTAAGGGGTAATGCAGTGCAATATCCCCGGTTGCTGGAAAGGCTGTTCGTTTGCATTCGAAACGTCGGTGTATTAAAAACGAAGTTTGTAAATTTAACACTGTAAATTTAAAGGGCCGTGATAGCTCGGTGTGCGAGCGCTCGCCTTAAATTCAATATGCTAGAGCAACCCGAGTTCGATCCCCGGTGCCGGCACCAAAAAAATGGTTAATTTTAAGTGCTGACTTATCACGTGCTCAACGGTGAAGGAAAACATCTTGAGGAGACCTCCATATTATCTAAATAACCAAAAAATATTTCCAACATATGTGAAATCCGCCAATCCGAGTGGTGGACCTTGGTAACCTATGTACATTACCTTAAACGGTAAATTTAACACTCACTTCACAAACTGGTCGGGATGGGCAAAGGAGTCCGCGTACATCTCCAGTAGCGATCGCCTCTCGAGTATGAAGGTGGGAAGAACTACCTGTAACAGTTGCGGATTCCATAGCATCAAGATATTCTTCATACAAATGCCATGTTTTGTGCGGATGCGGAAGAGTGAAGAATATATTAACAAGTAAGACACATATAAGGATGACTCGGAGGCGCAGTTGCTAAGCTATTGGCAGGGGACATGGGTTCGATTCCTACACGGGACAAGTATTTGTGTGACCAACAGGTAATTGTCCGTCAGGCAGGCGTCTGGACGTAAAAAACCTAATCAAAGCAGCATACAATATGATTCACATGCTGTGCCGACCCCACCTAACTGGATGGAGGATGATGATAAGACAAAGGTCAGATAAAAAAAAACATACGAACACAGTTACAGTTGAGAAGCTTCTCGAATACTCTCAAATGTTAGAAACGTCACATTTCTTACTTTGTACGAGTACGTACGTAAACGTCATTTTGAATTTTTAAATATGACGTGCCAATGTAAAACAAAAAACGTAAATGTCAGAATTCTGAATGGAAATGGCCTTACAGTTTTATCTTAATGTTAGAAGCCTTCACCGAATTTGATTATGCCAAAAACGAGTCTGGCTGCTTTAAACCAAAAAACCGACTTTGCGAAGCGGAATTTTAAAACAGGTCTCACTGTCACCGGTGAAGGTAAATTTGATTTGCTTAGCACATAAAAACAAAGTTGCCCACATTGATAATGTTACGCGTAACTAACATAAACGAACGTTCCAAGAAAATTTTCCTTCCTTACATTTTAATCACAGTTTGCGGTAAATTGACGTTTAGGATGTTTCGACACGCTCAACAACACTTAATGAACGTTCCAAATATTTACATATCGGATGTCTAAACTTAAACATTTCCACGCCGCTCCAATTTGATGTAGCTATTGTAAAAAAACATTTTAGACTGGCGTTATTTTATACCGCTGTGAAATATTATGTTAAAATTGTGAAATCTGCAGTGACAACGACGAAATTTTGATGTTCCGATTAAACAGACGTGGCCCCAACACATAATCGACTTGGGAAACACGTGTGCTTGTGCAAATGGACAGACCCGCCTGGGGATGTATTTTTTTACGTGGCAAACGAACTGGCGGTTCACTTGATGTTAACAGATAACCGGCGCTCAGCAGGGTTTCCGATGCGTTGTCACCTTTTAATAATGTGGGCCCCGGCAACCTCACTCACCAGACGAAACACAGAAGTGTAACACTTCTAAAACACGCCGATTTTCTATTAGGACGTGGTAATAACCCGGACGGAGCTGCCCATTCGTGCAATAGCAGACACTGTTCCGTGGCCCTACCACCGTATCACCTTACAAACGACCAGCGTGAAGTATGCAGTCTTACACTTAGTTGTTTTTTTAGAAGGTTAAACTTACTTTAAAGGTTAGCAGCGTATCTGCAACCCGCTTATTGATAAGCGGCCTTAATCTAGTAAAATGTGATTAACTTTCTGCCCGGCTTACTACCTAGTCGCATAAAAAGAGGTCTTGGTGGCTGAAACTTATTGTAGTGTCTTTTTTCTCCTGCCCTTATTCGAACTAGGTTGGCACAACATGCGAATCATGTTGTTAATGTTATATGCTAGGTTTTTTATTTTATTAAATAGGGTTGAGACTACGGATAAACAGCCATATCCAGAACAATTATCCGTGGGTCACTCAATTACTTATCCCATGTCGGTCGTCGATATCGAGTTCGATTGTGACTGCAACTGAGACACCAAGTACTCATTGTAGTATAGTTAAATCAAAACATTCCCCCTGTTTGGTTGTGTCAGACTTTAGCGGGTAAAATTGTATACTGTGTAGCGTAATGAAAAGACTGGGGTCAGGGACAGTCGATAAGCAGTTCATTTGGTGGTAAATGATGAATGTCGCACATGAATAGAGTTCCATGTACGTTGCTAACAACAACAACTAGGACATTCTCCGGGTATATATATATATATTTTTTAAACATTGCCCTTACTTTAGGATAACATTATCCTGTGTTGTAAGGACGTTTTACAAACATAAATTTCACGCGGACGAATACCCAGATACGAAACAACTATATTGTGGGTCACACAAATTGTTGTCCCGTGTGGGAATCGAACCCACGACCCCCGACGCCGAAGCCAATACTATGACAACTGCGCTACGGAGCCACCGATAATTGCCATCTGTTGCAATGCATTTGGAGGAAGATCCTGCCAGCAAAGAAAGTGTTACAAGCCCAACACGGACCCTGACGTCACTCCTTAATTTTTACTCCGTAAAAGGCCATATGATGCCGATCTTTTGAGAGATCGCGGTAGGTACTCCCCCATCAATGCAGCAGCGAAAGCTGTTGTAAGAGTACCACATTCCAACCTACCTTTGTTAGGTCCATTCCAATCTTGACCTGAGACAGGAGATGCGTGACAACGGAGCCGTGGTTCTCCATCGAGCCGAGGTCGCTGTCCGATTCGTCTTCGTACAGCGCTGGAACAGACGTTCCTATGGTTACGCCAAAAATTGTCATTTTTGAAACACTTTTTACCCGACTGCGCCAGAAGGAGGGTTATGTTTTTCGAGAGTATGTATGTATAATTGTTTGACACGCTCTGCAGCCTGAACAGCTTGATGGATCGTATTTACTGTGATAATGACACTGGGTATATTAATATAAAAAAGTTACACAGAAACACAGTCGAGTTTTTTAAAATTATATTCCACTTGTTCGACTGCAGCATTAAGCTGAGAACGGTCTGTTTACCATATACGCTACACACAAGTGTGTGCGTAATGATGTAAAATTGTAATGTGTTTCATAATATTTTTTTCTTTTTACTATTTATTTTTTTATTTTTATGTTTGCGGTTTAAATGCACATACCTAAGATGTTGCAACTGTTCAATCCTTCCCCGTATTTGTGTAACAAATGTTTTCTTTCTTTCTTTCTTTTGGAACGACGAGTTCCACCTGATACTGGCTAACGTGGATTGTAAAGTGTATTAAAGTTAAGTTCTGCATAAAGAAACGGGTCAGCTTGTACAGCGCATTAAACAGTAAGGTCTATTAAACGATAAATTGTTTAACACACTTACAGCGACGACTGCCACGCGGAGTGGCTTCAGGAAAATGGATTATTTCCGAGTCGTCTGTCCTTGAATGCTTGCATGCATTGCTACAAGTTTTAATCATTTCGATGATCATATACAGATAATTTCTCAATATAATTTTATTTATTCAATCGTGAGAAGATTTAAAATGTAAAAGGATTCATAAATCCAGAGCCAGGCACAGTTGTATCTGACATAGCTTAATGACACAAATCTATGTATACGCAAAGATATGGATGTTTTACCGTGTCCCCCAATTTTGAAACGACAACAATTAGTTCTGGGAACTTAATTGTTGCTCGAGCTGGGAAATCAGATCTTTCCTGGAGGAATAATTAAACCGGATACGAGTCATCGCCGCACAAGTTTCTTATCGTCGCGTAAGCACCAGTTTCCTGTGGCAAGAATCGCGATGACTCAGATTTAGGAACGGGCTAGAGCGGTGTTTATTATGAGAGGATAATTATTTCCAGAGTCCCTAAATGGCGGTCTGCGTCCAACTGATAAATACTGACCAATTGAATTACGTCCAATGACGTAATCGGGTATGACGGGTACATTAAACTCCGGCCAAGTGCGAGTGGGACTCGCGCACGAACGGGTTCTGTACAATTATCTATAAAAAGGACAAAACAATCATGCCTCTTGTATCTAAGCCCCACTTGAACATTTTTTATTGTTTTTTGTTTTTTTTTGTTATATCGGCAACAGAAATATATATATATATATATATATATATACATAATCGGAATCTCGGAAACAGCTCCAGCGATTTTCATGAATATTAGTATATGCGTAGATTCGGGGGCGAAAAATCGATCTAGCTAGGTTTCATTTTCAGAAAATGTCCTTTTATCCCTGTTTTGTATGTATGAAAAATATTATTCGAATACGACGGTAGATTTCACCGGAAAAAAAATGTTATAATAGCTCGGTCGGTAATCGGGCAGCCGCTAATAAACAGCCACGAAACAGAAGACCGTGGTTCGTATCCCGATCATTTACACGTTTCTTTTTTTACTTTTATTTCGATTCCAGAACATTGCTTTCTTTATTTTTAATTTTTTGTCGATTTGTTATTATGTTATTTTTTTCCCTTTTTTTTAAAGTTCTTTCTTTTGTGAAAAACATCAGTTCATATTTTCTTATTATTACGTCGGTAAGCTCGAAAAATATTATGCATATATCATTACTCAGTAATTTGTATCTAAATGTAATTTCCAAAACACACGATTTACAAAAAAAAAAACAAACAGAGCAAAGCTCGGTCCTCCGGGTACTAAAATATAATATGTGCAAAATTATACTTAATAAATAGAATAAAAATAATCCTTGACCGAATTTTCGATGAATTTGACTTTATCGAAAGAGGTAAAGTTTGTTAATGTATTTAGTCATAAAATCACGTCTAAAACAGTGATTGACGATAGTGAAACAGTTTGGATTTTGTTATGTAATTTTTATAACTTTAAAGTGTTTGATCTAAGTGATAATTTATAATCCAGATAGCGGAATAAAATAAAATAAAATAAACATAAATATAACCGCATTACCGCTAAACATAGATTCACTCCGCAAACAGTTTTCATTCTTGATCCCCAGCGCATTCACGCTCTAGTGCTCAGCTTTTGACACGCTCTCACAATTAAGGTCATCTATTGCTTTAGAAATTGTGGTACACTTGGTACATATATTAGCTCTTTTGGTACGAATAATATAATCGTCGCTCTCCTTACACATACAGTTACATACGACCGAGTGTTCTGTCCTCTGTCATCGGCCAGGAATCGTCCGGAATTCATCGTGAGCAGCCAGAACTGTTTATGTAACCGATATTACGGCAACGCAACACAATTAAACCTATCCGGACCGTTCGCAGTGGGCACGTGTTACACACGGAAGGATGTGGGAGCGTTAACGAACGCGTTTACGTCAGTGTGGCGTGCGTTAATATTCAGTTGAGTTGGCCAATGGAGTGCAGAGGAAGGTTGTGACGTCACAGAGGCAGTAGACACGACCGGCTTTGAAGTGCCAACTAATTGAATGAAGAGAAGTGTTCTCTTTTCAAAACAGGAATTTTAATTCCGTTTTAATTCGATTAACATCTCTTCTCTTCTTGCTCGGTCCCTCAATGCTGAGGATCGTGACCACATGATGTCCTCCTCCACTGAGTGCGGTCGTAGGCGGTGTGAACCGATTAACAACATCGATTAACAAAGAGAACATAAAACCTTTATGTTGAAAGGTGATGCACATATTTTGCTTGACAGTGAAACCTTAATTACGTCTTATGTTACTTTCATTACTTTGACTGATGTTTTTGCTTTAAGACTGTACACTATTAAAGCTTCAATGAAAACAGAGATCGATACAGCCTTCCACGTTGGGTTCTAATTACGTATTATACAAACTATCATCATTCATGACTAGCGTTGGGAAACAAATTAATTTCTGTTATGCTAGTTGACGTTCGGCAGCTAATTATCCTCCCTTATTTACGAGATTTCAGACGAATTTCTGTTGCTATATGGAAACACATAAACCAAGTCATTGTTATCAATTTATTGCCGTTATAATTTATCCTGAATGCGTTTGGCACGTGATCTGAATTTCTTCCTGAGATGAGAAGCGAACGCTTCTTGAATGAAATCATTGATTTTATATATAGGCAGATTGAGAGAAATATTGACAGTCAAAAGCGTTTATAATTTTTATATAGAATCAGATAGGCGCAGCAAAGAACGCAATTTAATAAAACTAAATAACTATCTTTGTTTAATTTTCATATCGTAACGAGAAAACGTCTATGTAACTATTTATACATCTATATAAAGTACAGTATAGTAAAGCCATTACGTTATTGGATATTTGATTATATTTAAAGTATACAACTCCCTCGTGTACTAAAAGATCCTTTCACGCTGTAAAAATAGAAATGTACCTTTTCACGACACACCTAAGGCATACGAGTTTACTTCAATTCTAATTGGAAGCGATCTCTCTTTGACTCCATTAGACATTAAAATCATTCTATTACACATAAGGGAGCTTATTTTATTACAACAAAATTATAAACGTATAATGGTAATGTATTGTAACGATTGTTGTACGAGAAAATAAAAGTGAACGCAACTACATTTTGAACTCACCTTATTGATAATCGAGCAAATTATTATTTTTATTTTATTTTATTTTATTAAGGCATACAAACAAATGTACAAAGTTTGGTATAACATATTACACACAAATACAGATAGAAGTATATTTACATGCAGCACCGTATAGTATACGGCGTATATCCAAAGTTAGGAATATTACAGTCCAAAAGTATTCGTGGCTAATAAATAACGTTTTTCGCATTTGGCGAGTATAGTGAGTAAAAACAATCGCTAAAAATTGTAATCTACACATAATGTAGTAGTTTCATCAATTTCATTTTATTTCGTAATGAACATAATATTTTCACAGGCGTTTTCGTTATAAAGATTTTTAAAAATATAACTGTTACAACATTCGTCCAGAGAAACAATTATCCCAGGAGTATGACTAACATAATTATACTTTTACCGTGTAAAAATAAAGCGGGCATGGTGACAAATGCAATACTCGTTTGAACAACAACATAAAAGATTTTGTGTTGTTGTTCAAACGAGTACGTATTTTATCCTTTACGAATTTTCTAACTCGATTGCAATACAAGTTCTTCATAGCCTTTCTAAAGACAATGACGTATCACACAGCAGAGCCATACGGATCGAAACCATATTAGCATACAATGCCGCGGGAACGAGCATCTTGTTACGTCTTACGCGAAGCCGAAACATCATAATAAGCGGCTCCAACGCTCACTGTTGGTTCTTTTATGGGCGAGGCTTAAGGCCCATTTACATGGTGCCAGTTTCTTGCCTGTTGTATACAATTAAAATGAAGCAATAAATGAGTTGCATGGTCTAAACAACAAATGGTGTAAACAATTATTGCGCGACATTTATTGCATTCAATTATTGCTCTTGTATGTACAAGAAAATGGCATCGTGTAAATGGGCCTTTAGGCAAGTAAAATAGGCGGTTATTTTTGGTGAACTTCGCACTACACTACCGATCTAATATTTTTAACAATTTTATAAGGTGTATGTTTACTTATTGAGTGTAAAATTAGAAAATGCAGACAAATTCCGGTGGAGCTTCAGGTTTTCATCTTTAATAAACGTTTTTGGGCGATATGTTGGAAATTATGCATTTTTAGTTAAAAATCACATAGACCATTACTGTGGAGAATAAAATTTCGCGTCTCTGATTTCACATAAACTTTTGTTTGTAAAATGGAACCCTTACGATTTATGGCCCATTTAATGGACTGGTTTTTCTATTTTGACCGATAGCTCTTATAATATTGAATTAATCAATGAGATGCGTCTATCCATCTTAAAAAAATGATTTATTCTCCATGACTTTTATTTGAAACTTTTTTTATAATTTACATAATAGCTTTTTGCGGGGTAAATTTTAAACACGATTAACGTTTATCATGTTACACAATATAGCGTGTTAAAATGCCACATGGACCGTTTGTTCCACACACACTCGTCCAAACGTTTACATTCGAAGTTTATTATTTCTAAAAATAGCTTTTCGCTGCATACTAGTGTAAGTTGGCTAAACTAAAAAGGCCACAAGGGTCGAGACGTTATTAAACAATAAATAATGCTGTACTGGGCTGGGATGGGAACAAAGCGCTTTAATTCTATTTTCCACTTTTGTTAGTCCCACATTACACGCTTCCTGCGTACGCTCCAATAGTAAATAACTTATTGAACTTTGCGAATATCATCGTATCATCACTTATCGATCCCTATCTTGAGTAGCATAGGTAATCAATATTTCAACGCAACTTTTACAATTATGGACACAATGTGCGTGGTTATACAGGTTGACACCAGAGCTGTCGATTGATCTGGACTAGAATTTTCAATACCTATATCTTCTGTTCATCGATGTAAGTCAATGATCAAATTAAGACACTAGTAAATATTCTTCCGCACTCAGAGAGATCTGTTAGTAGTAGTTGAGCTCCAAAGATTCTTTCAGTAAAGGTATAATTAATTCATTTATTTTATTAATATTTCATTATATGGAAGTAGTATATGTATGCTGTATACTTCTGTTTAATATTTTTGTTTTAATGTAATCAATCTATGCTTAGCCCAAAAGAATGGACATTATACGACACTAGACAAATTCTTTTCCGAATCGGTAGTAGTTAGAATTTTGACAATCAATAAATATACGTAATGCTTCTATATTGAATGAAGAAATTTGAATTCGAGAACAAATTCAAGGCTGTAAAGTGAGTAAAGTATCAGCCTTTAAATATCCCACTGCTGGGCAAAGGCCATCTCTGCGCAGAGGGTTATTAGCATAGTGCAACACGCGACCCCACTTCAGATCGGCAGACGTCACATATTTTCGAAATACTTTTTTTTCTGTTATTATTTTGAACATATGCAGGTTTGCTCACGATGTTTTCCTTGCCGGCTAATTCAATGCTGTCTGGGCGCTCTCGGCACCCCTGTTAGCATTCGTGGACCGAAATTTAGACGTTCCAACACAGTAAGGCATGTAAGGGTGGTGTTATTTCCATCGTTGTCACGCGCGCGACATCTAGACGTTCGAGCATCAGTGTAAGGTATGTAGGGGTGGTGAGCTCACCATCGTAGTCGATTTCCCCGTCGTTGGTCCGCGGCAGGTCGACGGCGGCGGCCGGCGGCGGTTCTTGCTCCACCGTACCTTCTGCCGGGCAAGTGCGACTCGCGCTGCAACAAGACAGTTGATACTTGTGTAACCACGTCGAAAGGTGCTTGAGAATCTGGCGATACATACAACGCCCGCATTTTTTCCAATGCCTCTTTCTACCGTATGGGTAGAAACAGGACTATCTAAGTTAAGTGTCTAATGACCGGCGATGCAAGTGACGTCATAACTATTTGATCATAATTATTTGTTATGACGTCACCAACTTGCAGTATGTAGTAGCGTACACAGATATTTCATAAAGTGTATGCACAATAAAAATAACCAATAATTGAAATACAATGAACCCGGAAAGTCAAGAGTTAAAGTAAAACTATCATGAACAATTAACATCTGTAAATGATAACTTCAATATTATTAATTAAAAATTATTGTTTTATATTATAAATCGTTCTATTAGCCGTTTTGGGGGAGTGTTCGTATAGGATGACAGGGTATGTAAAGCTTTTTCTCTTGTATGGAGTACTAGCGTCTGGATAGAAAGGCACGGATATAGATACTAGATAGCTTTCATAAGTTTCAATAGGAGTATGAGAATAATGTTTCTCGTATCAATAAGGTACGTGTGATTTAAATTTTTCCCGCTCCAAAATAATGCGTTACCTACTCGGCCCTATAATGCGCGTACTACTAAACTGCTAAAGGCTTTGGTCGAGCCACCGCCATTTCCTTAGGCAAGCGTAAAAGATACACTTAACGCCATAAGTGATATAATAATTTTTAAACAGCTTATCTATATTTCGTATTATAATTATCTATATTACTGTGGTAGGGCCATGCAATGGTGTTCACTGTTGCACGAATGGGCAGGTCAGCCACCAGCTTTGCCACTATGATATATATATATATATATATATATTATATCGTATCCCAGAAATACAAATAAAAATAAAATAAATTCTGTAAAACCTCTAGCATACAGGGTGGTAAGTCGCGGTTCATGTTCAAGAGTCCCCGACTTGGAGGAGAGATGGCTGCACCCCGAGGAGGGGCTGCTGAGGCGGCCGTGCTGAAAGGGTCGCGAAAGTATGCGGAGGTGTTCCAGAAAAAAAAAAGGGTGGGTGGCATGATCAGACGACCTTGAGCAACGACCCCTCCACACCTGTCCTTGACACTCGGTCAGGGCTGCCCCTTTTCATTGTCAAACAACCAAATTGTTCCAGCTTTGTTCAGGGTTAGCATTTCGCTGTTATATAAAGGGCTGTGTAAACCATTAGTTATATTTAGCAATGCCTTTTGTCCGTAAGGGCAGCCTTGGTAACGATTTGATTCGTAGCATTCTTTAGATAATTCATAGGAGCTATTGTATGGAACGAATAAGGGGTATGAATAGACGTATTATCGAATATTGAGTGGGATTTATTCCAGCACAGTGCTTAATTGGTACAATATATCTAATCTCCGTCAATCTTGTGTTCAGTATCGAGCGGATTATTCAATTATTCATTATTGTTTTGACATGCGAACAAAACAGTGTTCAAAATAACGGATGAAATTGTTGAATAAGTATAAGTAAGTGTGAATAAGTAATTATCAGGCAAGGGTTAAACTTTTTAACCTTATTAATTGGGAGTACTATACTACCGTCGTAAGTAATGATATTGTTAATAGTAACTGTGTAGAGAGATTAGTTTATTGATGAAAATGTCATCATCTGGCTTTTGTAACAGGAGTATACAGTTATAGTATATAGTTAGCAGTTTCTTGTAAAGATTAAGCCTCTCACAAATACCGCACACGAGAAATTCACATCGTAGTAAGAAGCTTAATGCGCGGCCGGTACTAGGCTAAAACCCGCATTACAACGGATGACCTTCCGTATTGTAAGGTATTATGAAGTTAAAACGATTAGCATTTCCCGGAGAACATAATGCTGTATAAACAGTCATGATTGACTGATAAATTCGTTTCCTATGTGGCTCGATAGATTGCTTACGAAAAAGGTTGAGTATGAAATATTAGTGTGGATAAATCAATTGGAGCGAGAACCAATTGATTTATCCACACTAATATTTACAAAAGTGTGGGTTACACCACATTGATTAATATTGAAATGACATCGCGATCATCTGCCGAAAATGTTAATGACAATCTACGGATAAAGGAAGTACTTTCCAGAAAACAAAAAACACGCACGCTAGGGAAACGATGTGTGCTTGAACAAAACCGGCCGATCTAAGTTCAATGTCTAATGCCTGGACATGCTGCATGTGGGTGACGTCATAACCAATAAAATTATGATCCTTTGTTATGACGTCAGTGACGTACACAAGGATTTCAGATGGGATATGCACTAAAATAAACTTACCAATTTCTCAAAGTGATTGATAATAACAAAACAGGTTACATAAATGATATCCAAAGTGGCGAAAGGTTTAGATGTTAAGTCTATTTTCAATAAATAGATTAGAAAAAATTACAACTTAACTCTAATTTGTGGGTTTCAGTGGGGGCGTGTTTGTATGGGACAACAGGGTATGTCAAGCTTCTTTTTGGCATGTATGGAGTGTATGCTTATGTAGTTATCAACGCTATATTTATAACATCTTGACAAGATTCTAATCCATTCACGCGAAGGCCTCTATTATTAATTAACCCTTTTTTGTTATTGTTTTTTTTATTTTTATTTTTGTAACGTATCTAGTAGCTTCCATTAAAATAATATTCTAAGTTTAATACGTGGATAATGTAGTGGGCTGTAATATTATTACTACATCAACGCAACAGATCTGTTCATATCATATATTGTAGCTGTTTGTTATCCCCAATAAAATAAAATAAAATAAAACCCTACGCCGCTTTCTTTAGTGGTTCTTTAATTACCTAAAGTTATTATAATAACCTTCAAACGTTAGCCTAAATTTTCGGGGTTTGGACCTTGAAGTGTCCCTGGATAGATTCTAACGTTTTCCTATAGAATCTTGGCACATTCAATGGCCTTCGGTTTTCTTAGTTACGCCCCGCTGGATCTAAGTCGGTGAGTTGGACCAATGACTATTGTCTGTTCAACATAAAAAAAAGATAACAATTCATTATAAACGCAACTTCCGAACACAGAAAATATAGCGAATTTAAGTAAGTAATATTAGAAACAATAATCCATCAATTTACATTCAAATGAATACAGTAAGATGAGAATAATTGTAGATTAGTATGAGAATAAAAAAAATATCGATGATATTCTCTGTCTTAAGCCAGCTGCGATAAAACAATTAATTTAAAAGCACTTTAGAAACCAAATGCGTTTAGACGGAAATTTTTATCTTTCACGCATATATATATTTATTTATCTGAATTAAATTAAATTCAAAGTATATTTATGTGAATCAATTAATGTTGTGTATATCGCTCTCAATAATGAGCATGTTCATTTATTTTTTAATATATTGATATAAATGTTGCGAAATTATAAGAGTGTGACAGTGAAAGTATTAGTATAATTTCTCAATTTTTGTTGAAACATGTACATAAGATTAAAAAAAAAAGCGAGTGCTGAAGCAAGGTGTAATTGTATAGCCACTAATGTTACAAAATTAAGTGTCTTTTCAAAATATAATATCCTGGCAACTAACGTAAGATATATGTGAAATCCGCCAATCCGCAGCGGGGTCGCGTTGTGGACTACGCCCTAATTACGTATTGAGGCCTTTGGCCAGCAACGAGACATATACAGGCTGTTACCTTACTTGAACAAACTTAAACATTAACATTTTTAATAAACCAAATCATATGATGCTTCCAGTCGGAGACAGTGGAGAAAGTATTGCAATATCACCCAGCTCTGAGAAATGTTTAATATTATTCATCGTAGTAAAGTCACTTTAGTAAAGTCTAATTCACCAGGAAGTAAGTTTGAAATAAATTATTTACTGCACCGAAACGCACGCAAGCAAGCGAATAAGACGGTTCACCTGATGTTAAGTGAATACCGCCGCCCATACCATAGACATCTGCTACACCCGAGGGTTGCAGATGCGTTGACAACCTTTTGAAAATTGAAATTATCAACAACTGTAGTTTAATTGTCATTAAGTAAATTAAATGTGACAAAGTTATTATTATTAACTACAGTCGAAAATAATAACTACAGTCAAGTCTTGAAATAGTAGAAATAACAGGACATTATGAAGGTCACATCAGCCCCGGCCAGTGGAGCTGGAGGCGTCGCCACTGAGCAGAGAGGGTCATTGCCAGGGGTCGGCGGGCGCTAATCGATTAGTGGAGCCAGCGGGTCGTTTCTATCGTCGCTAGCGAATTAAAACTATTAGTTAACGCTTTTCATTAAAGCGTGTTGCTTTGTGACGGAATCGTGAACGGAATACAATTAAATGGGTTAAAATAAAATATAAAGCGGGCGATTTCGATTCAAGTTCAACGTACTCAGTAAAAGCCTCCAAGCTTTTACTAAGTGCGTTCCTTCTACGTGTGAGTCATTCAAGATGGTATAACATAATGCGGGCAAGTTTCTGATAAAAAAAACGTAAATTAATTTCATTAGCATTCCTCGTTCACGAGGCAATTTGAATTAATTATGGGAACATCGGATTCTAACTATATATATATATACCTTTTTTTGGAGAAAAGTTGTGATGGCGGCAGGCTGTTCACCTAATGTTAAGTGATTTCTTCCGCATGGACGTCTGTAACTCCCAGAGTGGTGGCATATGCGTTGCCAACCTTTGCAAAAGTGGCCCTCGGTTACCACACTCGCCAGACGAAACACGAAAGTTGCAAAATTGATCCTCTGCGAGGCCGTGATACGTCCCCAGAGAAGCCTGCCCTTTCCTGCAACAGCAGGCGCCCCAATGCGTTTTAACGGTTTTTATTCTCATTTCCTCACCATAGAATGTTCTCGTTAATGACTAGTTTATAAATAATCATTTTAATTCAGAACTTTTCTTATCCTTTATTCATGGTTTTTCGTAACGTACACTAAATTTCTTAAGCGGATTTAGTTTTCTTGGTCGTTTGCCTAGTTATAGACGGAATCAAAAATGTCATATCGAAGTTATGTCTTCTCAAAGCTTCTGTAGTCGTTAAAATCGTTATTATTGCCGCGGCGAAGGTTTAATTGACGCCAAACGCAGACCTCGGGGAATTATGAATACTTTATACAACTTAGAGGCGGCTGGAACATGTCAGTTACTAGGCTGACATTTAGTTTATGGCTGTGCCGACGATCGGCCTTATAATGACGGCTGAATAAAATGTCACGTCAATGCAATGACGTTGAATTCAGGAAGTTCAAGAAGTCGAAGCGAGACCGAACTGGCTTTATAAGAGCTAATTCGTGTACTGAATAAAAAGTAATCGAACCTTACAAAAGGATAATGGTAAACTGCTACTAAATTTATAACATTAAAACTGTGGCTCCAGTGTTTTTTGTGAATCAGCAAAAACTGAAAACGCGAAAAGTAATAAAACCAAACCGGTTACTTATAAGGCGAGAATAACTTTGACATACGGTTGTTGTCTCGAATGCTATCTTTTTCAATTTATATTTACTTTTAAATTAAAGAGAGATATTCCGTTTCTTCGTATCTGACTAATGCATAGGGGACGATATAATTGTTTATTTAAGCACTATGTTATTTATAGCGTATGCCGTTGGAAAACTTTAGAAATAAATAAATAAATGGAAAACGCATAGACAAGTTTCACGATGATCTTCCTGTTAGACAACACTATAACCACATACAGTACTACCACATAGTGGCGTGTACAGAGATTTCAGACAGACTATAAACAGAGTAGTTATGCACTAGCTATGATAATATAACAGGTCACTTAAATGATATCTACTTTAGATATCATGGGTACTATAAATCTAATAGATAGTTAGATAGGTCGTACTATAAATTGTGGGTTTCAGTGTTTTGGGGCATGTTTGTATGTGACGACAAGGTATTATAACAAAGCTCATTTGCATGTATTGGTTGGACTTACTCGTATATATATATATTTTATCATAGATAATATACGGAACCCTTCGTCCGACTCGCACTTGAACGGTTTTTCATATGCCACTTTGGCATATGAAAAACCATCCAAGTGCGAGTCGGACTCGTACACGAAGGGCTCCGTATATTATCTATAAAAAAACTAAGTGGTAAGTACATAGGTACTTACCAATTAGGTACTTACAACTGCCTCGCGTTTATCATATAAGAACCCTTTAAATATTTTTTATTTTATTCTGTTTTTTAGTATTTGTTGTTATAGCGGCAACAGAAATACATCATCTGTGAAAATTTCAACTGTATAACTATCACGGTTCATGAGATACAGCGACAGACGGACAGACAGACAGGCAGCGGAGTTTCAGTAATAGGGTCCCGTTTTACCCTTTGGGTATGAACCCTAAAAATGACTGTGAGATGTTAAATTTGTTTTCTTTAACTTTCTATAAATCATGGGTTTCAGTGTTTTGGGCCATTTTTGTATGGGACTACAGGGTATTATGGCAAAGCTCATTTGCATGTATTGGTTGGACTTACTCGTATATATATTTAATCATTTCTTTTTATATAAAAGACTGAAAATTCTCGATGGCCATCCCTCCATGATAAGTGGTAACTTTCTAGCCCAGCGAAATCCCACACAATATTGCCTAGAAGACGCACACGTTATATTCGGTGGAAAGACGGACAAATATAAATTGGATTGGCCGTGTAACTTTTCATTAGCACGCTTTCGTTTTTCATTGCGCTAATTCGGAAGACCATTAACACTATTAAGTTCACCCGTATCCAACAAGTAAAGCTAAAAATAGGTTTCATTAACACACACTGTATGTATAACAGTTAATATTATACAGTATGTGTCAATAAAACCTATTTTTAGCTTTAACATATTTATACATACAAGAATAAATAACGATGTCTTGTTAATCAGCACTCAACGAATGCGAGATATATGTTCATACTTTGGTATTTTTCACTCGTTTTAAGAACAAATGACTTACATTTTATAACATGACGTCGTTATGGGACCTTTAGTAGTAATGGTGTTGTTAAGTATTTAAATATTTAATTAGCTACATTTAAAGCGAATATTAATAACATTAACATGTCATGTAAATATACAATACATATGCATTTACATTTAGTTCTTTTTTTAATTTTATACCTTATTTCAAATTCAATTTCTTGATTGGATACGTTGAGATGGCGACTGGTTTTTTGAATTTCGAATTGACTCCGGAAATGTTTATCGATACAAAACGACTTGGCGACACGTGTAATACATGATTTATAAAATAAAATAAGACTGGGTACATATATTAATAGTAAATCGTGAGTGTCATGTTTTGACCATCACCATTATGATAAAATATTAGAAATAAGAATAAAGAATTGAATTAAACAAAAACTCCGACTTCATTAGAAGTCTAAGTATTGTATTTTCTATCGCGTAAACAATATTATTGAAATAATAATAACTATGTCACTATAAATGAAACTAATTTTACGGATTTATCGCGTTTATTTTTAATTTTAATTCCCGACGTTTCGAACCCTTTACAGCGTTCATGGTCACGGGACAGACTGAGGTGTTAGACGTCTGATTGTCATAGTTAACCCGGGCTACCGTCAGTTTTTGAATTATTAATTTTGTGTCCGATCTACCTAACACCTCAGTCTGTCCCGTGACCATGAACGCTGTAAAGGGTTCGAAACGTCGGGAATTAAAATTAAAAATAAACGCGATAAATCCGTAAAATTAGTTTCATTTATAATGTGTAATCGCGTAAATACAAGAAATAACTATGTCACTCCCACAATTGGGAAGAACCTAATGAAGCCCAAAATGCAATACAATACATAAATATATATAAACGCTGTAAAAACATTACTGTTTTTCGGCAGTCGGGTAAAAAGGTTATTCAAACATAACAATTGAAATTGGTTCCAGACGCTGCGGCGAGCGTCGCCTAATAGGTATTTTTATAGTATTACATATTGATGAAAATATAACAGAAAATAATCTTTAGTTAAGTAGATATTGATTATTGAGGTATATTATAATGCCTAAAAAAGGAATCACATCTAATAAATTAGATATTATTTATGCTATAGTTAACGAACGTATTACATGGTATTAATTGGTATTACATGGTATGGTATTTTTAAGTCTTAATCATAATCGTGGTGATGCTCTAGAAATACGAATAGATCCTAAAACCTAAAAATCTTTCGTATAAACGTATAAAAATATAAAACTGAATTAATTACGGCCGAATTGAGGATAGAAGTCGAGGCAACGGTTGTTGATGAGTCCCGTTATTCAGTTGCATCATAGAAAATCGGTGAGGTTCCGAAACGAGTCTACCTTTGAATTGGCTTGTACCGTGGCCGTTGCTGATTTCTTTAGAAAAAAAAATATTTATATGACCGCAATATGTATTTTTGCTCCGACAAGAACCTTAAACAGGTCCGAGTTTTGCGAGCCGGTCGTAATAACGAACGAAGCTTGGAAAAATACCAAATTAAAAAAGATAAAAAGAATGAAAATATTTTTTAAGTGACAAAGTGGCAAACGAACTGGCGGTTCACCTGATGTTTAGTGATAACCGCTGCCCATGGACATTTGCAATACCTGTAAGGTTGCAGATGCGTTGCCACCTTAAATCACATATTAAGTAAATAAAACTTGAAGGGCGATTTTCTGGTTTTGTATTACCAATCGTTTTAGTATATGGTGGTATCGGTTAGTATAAAGAGCAGATAAAGAGCTTCTATTGATATGAAGGCTCGAAATGAAATCCAAAACTGTATTAATGACCCAGTGTCTAAACGATAAAGCCTAGTCTGTTTTTAAACTTGTCTACATCATTTAGATGGTTAACTCAAACATTTACGAGTATGCGGTCTAAGCGTCATGAGATCCTGGTTTGATCCGCAGTCAGAAAAGGAAAATATTTATCTTTGTAACTGACCGTTCCAAACGAACGGAAGGTCGTGAGAGTTTATAAAACAAAATCATTGGCGCATTCCGTACCGAGCTATTCCGAGGAATCGTTCTTTTTAATTTTTACGTTTTCGTACTTGGCCCTCGTGAGAACGGAACACTTATAGATTCTGTTCGACTGTCAGTCTGTTAACACTCCTTTTTATCGCGAACGCGAAGAGATATCATGAACGTTTTAAGAATAGCCAATGCAATCCAGAAATACCGCCATTCACGAACCAAATATTTTGGCAATGAAAAAGTCAACCATAAAAAACCTACAGGTTACTTGCCGTTAATTTATAAATTATTTACTCTTTTATTACAAATACCTTCAATATGGTTTACAAAGGGACGGACGGACTTAATGCCTATGAACATTCTCTACAGGTCAACTAAAAAAATGGCAAGAAAATTTATATTTTTATTTTTATTGTTAATATATTATTATATATATTTTATTTTTATTGGTTTATTTTTATTGCTACTCTGCACTCGAGATGAAATTCAAATGTGAGTTTCATAGATAAATTGTCGTAAAATTATTCAGGACCGTCAAGATTCAAACCAGCGTGCGGCACTCTAGCAAGTAAATAACTAAATCTAATAATTGGTAATTAAGTAAAATTGTTAAGCGCCGTGGACTACAAACATTGTTAAAAATGCAATAATAACAAAAAAAGTTAATTCGACATCGAGATTCTTGCGCGGTGATGATATCGAAAGCCATGCTAAGTGGGTTCGAGTCCTGGCAGCTTCGAAAATTATTTAGAGAAATACAAGTCTGTACGGGTAAACAAGGTAGGTAATAAAGTTTGCCACCACAGCAGTATTCCCTCTCCGACTTGACAGCATTTTTACTATGTGAAAAATAATTTCAGCGCGCTCACCTCTCGCTCTCCCGCCTCAATGACCACCTCCTCGACGTCAGCGCCCTGATCATGGTGGTAGCGTCTCCCGTCCAAAGCACTCACAGCGTCACAGATGCAGTTCGAAATGCATCGAGAACTTCCCAAGATCACAGCCACGTTTAAATGCACTATTAGTCGGATTCAGTCTTTATTTCTCAAATTGACACACGCGTTAGACGAATGCACAAGATATTTGATTGACAGTCATGACTAGATGTGTACAACTTATGGTCGGCTACATGAATGGTTAAATATACCTAAATCCGGAAATTAGAATAGTAAGATCATCAATGAAATTAAATTAAAGATTCACAATAAAAGAAGATAAAGCTATGGACGCGTTGGCGGCACGTGTAAGAAAAGACCAAAAGAGCTCATAGCAAACGGAGTATATACTGATATGATTGGCGATATAAATGTAACCGACGTATATGTGGGTGCGTCGTTTTTTTTAAAATATATAAAAAAAAAAGAAAACCGACGTATATAATAGATGTATGTGATGGTCTCGAAAACAGCTGTCAGTTGCGAATTTTTCATGTCTTCGTACGTACTTAATTCATTATATGTGCAAACCAGTACGACCGTAGGCACGCGTTAGACTCACGAACACGCACAAAGCAGTTCAACGCAAAACTGCATCCGTTTGCTAATTATAACAGTGGCGTGCAAGTTAAACTAAAACCCATTGGCTACTTGAGAAAGTAAAGGTGACAGATGTTCGATTCTCAAGCAATGACGCACGCGTCAATGACGCTCGGTTAGATATTTACCTTTTGTAAGAGGATCAAGATGTGCAGAAATACATCTTGCACTGTATACAAATTTTATTAAAACAAAAACGGTTGTTGATAGAACGCTATGAAAGCGATTTATCCGCAGATTTATCGAGAGTGCAAAACCAGGATCTAGATCTTTAGAAAAGTAAGAAAAACAAGATGTACCTAGATGAAGAGAGATAAAAAAAAATGTTTACAAAGTTTCTTCGCGTTTCTGCTCTCCAGATCTAAATTTGGGAATTGCTCATAGATTATGGAGTTCGTAAACGTTGAAAACTTTCATAAAACGAAACATCCTATTTTGTCACAGACGTTCAAATATTTTTGTTGTGTTGGGTTCAGCGACCAGTAGGACAATGATTTCTAAGACAAGTAGAGCTACTAATTGAACTTAAGGCTTTTTAAACTTGAGTGTTTGTGCCATACTTCATTTTTAAGATGCATATCACTGACATTGGGTACAAATAAACAGTGGATTTGGACGAAATAATTTGAAACACCATTGTTATTATGTTTGCATGTGATAAGAAAATTAAAACTTTTTCATAGACTAAAATTTCCTGGTGTAAGCTGCGTAATTTATTTAGGTTTACCAACTCTCACTTTAAAAGCAAACGACGTGTACGAAGTACTGAAATCATTTTGAAATAATCAGAAGTATCACTATAAAAAAAACAAAGATTATTCTTGACGAAAACTTTAGCTATCTCGAGCAACTCTGTGGAGTTAAGACTAAGAGTAAAAAAAAAGGAAGATGAATAATAGAGCCGTAGAGAAAAGATTACACATAAACATTTTATAAATATTTAACAATAATTCTAAAAACAAGAATTTTGTCAACATTCACAAATAAATGTCATTAATTTAAAAGAAAACGGTGATTTTTGAATTGTTTTTTTTTATGTTTGGTTTTAAGTTTCATCAAAAACGCTGGCCTCGTTAACTTGGCAATTAAAAAATTATCGCTGTTACATTTAGTATTTTATATAGTTAATACAGGCACGGAAAATCTCTTGATTAATAAGTGTTACTCATAGACCGATATAATCTTTTAGTGTTTTAAAGAATATTTAATATTCTTTATTGATTTATTATATAAAAAAATTGCTGCATTCGACGATTAGACAACATCGATTTCCATTATCCTTGACACACAAATACAGCGACAATGTAGTTTGTAGTACGTGATACAAAAATTAGCACAATTCGCAAGAAATTTGTCGCAAGGCATAAAAATCTTTTTTTAATTTAGTTACAGTCGAACTTGCAATAAACATTTAATACTGAAAATAAATTATAAATAATACAAAACAGTAACTGTCACGCTTTGAATACATAACATTGTATGTTATGTATTAAGGGAATTAAACTTAACTCAGAATAACTAACAAAATGTGAAATGAAAATTATTAAAAAAAAAAAAAAAAAAAAAAACTTAAGCAACAATTACACCACGAAACGCATCGGCGGTTAAACTAACGTCGTATATTAGAACCGTTTTCATGAACACAACAGTCAGCAAGTTGGCCGGCCAAAAAAAAGAAAGCGATTTAGAAAAAAAAAAACTAAACGTACCTACGTAACGAGAAAAAGGACGGCGAACCTATTCGACGAAAAAAACGCGTAGTGCTGTCCGAAATGGAAACGAAAACAACGATAGCGCATACAATTCGGCGTACGCTAGGGCGGGCCGCACTAGTGATGTGCCGGCTGCGCGCCCGCTAGGTTATCGATCGGTTCGGCTCGCGTGGCGAAAGCGGCGGAGGAGCGCCCCGCGGCACGGTCCGACGTGCACTGGAGCAAGGCGTGAGTCGCCCGCACATAGAGCGGTTAGCGTGACCGCGTAGGCATTACATGGCGTTAATCGAACGCTCGGCCCTTTGGAGGATCTAGATTACGACTAACAGTCAAAATGCTAGCTGGTCTGGTGTGATTTTTATTTTATGGAGAAAGGCGACAAACGAGCGAGCTGGTCACCTGATGGTAAGCGACCACCGCCGCCCATGGACATTTGCCACGTCGGTTAAATGATTATGATATGTGTGTATTAAGTACCTAAATCAGAACGGTAGGCAGATGTGAGTTTGTTAACATTTAACTTAGTGTCATTTGACGGTCTTAGGTTATTAATAAGATTATTAAGGTTACTTTGACTGTAATTAGCTCGCGTAATGATTAAAAGAAATTTGGCACTACTAAGAAATATACAGACTTTAATACAGATTAAACTGCATATCCGTGATAGCTCAGTGTCCGGGCGATCGCCTTTAATTCTATATACTCGAGCAACCTGGGATCAATCCCCGGCGCCGGCACCAATGAAATTGCTAATTTTCAGTGCAGAATTATCACGTGCTCAGCGCTGAAGGAAAACATCGTGAGGAAACATGCAAGTTTTCGAAATAGTAATAAAGAAATATATTTAGTAGATATGTGACGCCCGATATATTCCAATTCGCAGTGGGGCCGCGTTGTGGACTATGCCCTGATACCCTCTGTACAGAGTAGGTCTTTGCCCTGCAGTGCGACATGAATAGGCTGATACTTTACTTTAACCTGTATTAAGTAAAACATTTTAAGCTAGAAGTAGTTTAGCCCAGATTTAAATAAGTTCCAGGCTGCACAGGAAGATGTCACCTACGTCTATAAGTGATAAAAAAAACTTAACATTCGCATATGCTTTAAAGATCTGGTAAAAACAATTACTTCTTTTAGAAATATTTAATACTCATACGCCCGGTTTCTGAAACACTGATCATCGTGACATCTACGATATACTAATCAGCTTTCAAACGGATTTTTATGAAAATTCAAAGAGTTTAACAATCCTTTGGGCAACTATGATCAGTGTTTCAGAAACCGGGCGTTAGTATTGGAATTGCCGTAATCCAATTGTCAGATATGTGTCTATTAAAAAAGTCTAAGCAAGTGAAACGCCGACATCATTAGAAGTGATTTTCACTCACAAATTGATTTCGAACCTATGCACGCCTGAATAAAGGAACCATCGTATCATAAAGAAACTTCGCGGGTAAAAAACTAAACTTTTGATCGCAGTGTCGCGTGTGAGATCGTTTGATCTTTGGCAAGCGTCACCGCGGCGGCGCGCATCGCCACGCTGCGGGCGGCTCGACGGATCGACGTGTAAACATTGAGTCCGCACCGTTGTTTATAAATAAACAGGCAGCACAGGAACGTCGTCGGTGCAGCGGAACTCGAAAAAAGAAGACGAAAAAAGGAGAGCTAATTCTATCATACCGACGCTTAGTTACGCTCGCGTCGAGCGGTGCTGTCGAGTATTATCTATTGTAATAAGGGAATAATAAACCGGCCAAGCGCCTGACTGACTCACGCACTAGTGTTCCGTACCATAATACATAAAACGGCAAAAAAAATCATTTCTGTTGGATGGGAGCGCCCCACTTGATTTTTTTTTCCTGTTTTTTTACTATTTGTTGTTATAGCGTCAACAAAAATACATCCTCTGTCAAAATTTCAACTGTCTGATTATCACGGTTCATGAGATACACAGCCTGGTGACAGACGGACAGCGAAGTCTTAGTAATGGGGTCCCGTTTTACCCTTTGGGTACGGAATCCTAAAATGTAATATTTGAATTATGAAGCAGACGATGGATACGGTTCTTCTTCAACGGCCTCTCTCCACGGGGTACGGTCACATGCCGTATGGTCCATCATGCATGATGCTGATAGACGATACTGCTACATTGTTTGAACTATTTTAGCCGACTTCAAAAAAGGAGGATATATGTTTTATTTGACGTTGAATACTCTATATCGTCTCTATTAATATTAAGACGCAACTGTATTCGCCGTTGCACGAATGGTTGGTAAGGTCCATAAGGGAAAGTACCACGACCTCACAGAAGACCGGCGTCAAGTGGAAGATATACTTCTGCGTTTCCTCTGGTGAGTGAGGTAACCAGGGCCCACTTTATTAAAAGGTGGCAACCCTGCGGGTGTTGCAAATATCGATAGGCGGTGGTTATCACTTAACATCAGGTCAAACTTAAAATTCATGCATAATATAGTAGAGAAACACTGATAATTTTAGAGGTTTCTAATGCGATGTCAAAAAAAAAAAACATTCAGCATTGCACCCGCGCGAAATCCGGGCGGGTCGCTAGTTTTTAATACAATTGAAAGCATGCCATTAACAATAAAAATAATAATAAATAATTTATTTTTAAAAGAAACATTGTTTCCTGCGACATATGTGCATAATGCTTATAA